AACCATATTTTTATTTTTAGTTAAAAAGAAAGTTTGTATCCTTTCAATACTTACAAGTTTTCATAGACTTGTAGCTACGGTAGCTTCTCAAAAAAAAAGTTGAAGACCATTCATTTTTAGAAAATTTGCATTTTTCATGAATATGTACTATTTCAAGTATAAAATGTTGATTAAAAGTTTTTTTAACACTAGAAAAGTATCCCTCCATTTCAGGGATAGTCACCTATTCGGGAAACAATTCCCCACTTGGTGGATTGTCTCCAACCTGCTTAACAAGGTTATGATTCTGTTCCATTACTCACAATCAAGATAAAACATACCTGCCAACCTCTGAAACCTTCCAAGAGGGAGATCTCCAACTATGACAGCTGAGGGGGAGATTTTGCGCTAACGACATTTTCAAGTGAAGTATATGACGTGTTTATTTATTCATATACGAAACACATATAAGAGTTAATAGATATACTTTATTTCTTTAAATATGGTTATATTATACAGAAGGTGTGTTGTTTATATCTTTCCTGTTTCATCAACTTTGACATTTGAATCCCTTCCGACAACTTTCACCCCAGATACCTCTGTTATAAGAGAACAATCATGTTGTCACAGGTGCCTTTTGTGTGTGAACATATCTATTTCACTAAATTTGGTTCAATACATATATTATAAATTTCAATATAAACATTGAATAGAAGTATAGATCTTTAAAGTGATTTTTAAAATATAATTATTTTTTTGTCTTAAGGCATACAAAATCTTTTAATTGTCATCCTTTTATGATTCTTTGTTTAATTTGTATTTAGTTTATATTGTTTTATCAATTCACATTATTTTAAACAGGGTAACTTAAACAGGATTAAACAGGGGAAGTAACCCGAAATTTCTTTGAAGTGTTTTGCTTGTAGCAAACGTCGTTAATGATCGTTAATAAGTACTATGTTTGACACCCAAGCTGTCAAGTGAAGCCATTTAATTTCACATGGTCTGTGATTTACAGGTAAAAACAACCCTCATCAGTGAGAAAAAAAACGTAATTAATGTTGACTTGTCATTCAAGGTTAAAATATCCCAAAGTGGGAGATTCTATACTCCCGCACGGGAGATTTCCTGAATTTCGTCATTTGAGCGGGAGTCTCCCGCTCAAAACGGGAGGGTTGGCAGGTATGATAAAATGAATGTGTTATCTAAATAGATAAGCGTGGTATGTGAAATAAATTCAATGACAGTAAAGAATGAACAACTCCCACATTAAAGAAGATAAAACAGTAGAGAATGAATAGCTCCCACATTCAAGTGAAGATAAATTTATTTCATAATAAAAAACTAGTAGAATTTTAATTCAAAAATGTCTCCAAGATTAAACTCGAACTGCATTCAAATACCTTTTTTGTTTCCACTAAAACTGATATTTTGTTATTTCTTAAGTGTACTACCACAAACCAACATAATTTATATACAGTGGAATCCAGACTACACGAAATTCGTCAGACCGTCGGACAAATCCGGTGAATAATGGATCGGTCTGGTAAAATTTTGATGAATTCCAGTCCGAATGTCCGGTGTTGTTTTTTTCGTGGATTTTTCTAAAAACCTTGCATTTTTCCCAATTTTGGGAGCAAAATTCTCAAACGATCTCAAAATTCATTTTCATCTTTATTATTCATGACAGCGATGTTTATTTTGTTCAACCGTTAGCTTTATGCCGAAAATCGCCAACAAGTAATGTGTAAATCCGAATAAAAACATATCTGACTGACAAAAACAACAATGGCTGCCATCAAACGGAAATATAGACAATACCGGATCAGATTCCGGGAACGGATAAGGCCAATTCCAGGTTTGCCGACCAAATACAATAAATAAATTTAAAAAAAAAATCCAAGCAGGTTCACAAAATACAGCTATGAAATATAAACACTAGAATTGAAAACAAAAAGATATATGAAAAAGAAAGAAGATACAGGAAATATTTTATACAGAAACTCTAAATTATTTTTAGTTCACAAACAATTTTCATGTCAAAATCCAATAAAATGTCACATTACTTTTCTTTATCACTGAAATGCTTTCAAGCAATTGTGCACAACTTTCATCAAAATATACACTCTTGTCACATGATTTTGTTTTTGTGCATTTTGGAGAGGAGTAGGGCACAACAAGTCATAAGTTTGTTGTATTTCGTCGGATAATATACAATTAGATGTAATACAAAAATTGGTCTGGTAAAATTTCATTCGGTCTGGTAAAGCTAGGTTGTTTACCAGACCGAATGTCCTGTAAAAATAAAATTCTTTCGTGTAGTCTGGGAATCCCTTTTGTATGTGTGGTCAGTGATATTGCACATTTCTTCATATATATGTAACATTAATAGAATCATCATTGTTATTGATTTAGTCTTCCAAAGGGACAGAAAAGGGTAAAATTGATAAATTCAAGCATAAATTTATAATTGCAAAATCTCTTATTTATATTTGACTAAAATCTTCATTGACCATTATGGAATATCTGTTTCACAGATGACTATGGATATGTTCCACTTGTCGTAACCACAATCTGGTCCTCTTCCCTAAATGTGACCTACAGTCTACTGATTTAGACTTCTCAGTGTTGTACTTACATGAGCCACATGACGGGTGCCACATGTGGAGCAGGATCACCCCAGTATTTGGCAGGGTTCTTGTTGCTCAGTCTTTAGTTTTCTATGTTGTGTTTTGTGTATGGTTGTTTGTCTTTGGTCTTTTTCTTTTATAGCCATGGTGTTGCAGTCTGCGACGTTCAGCGGTAGCCCGAAGCCCCTGACTAGTAAATATCTCATCGGACTTGTGCAGAAGCACTGCCGATTGCCCGACCGGTCTAGTGAACATCTGAAATCATTTGCGAAATTGTAGCCGTTATTTTATTGAATCTATGAGAACAAGGAGCCTCGAACAAGTTATAAATTTGTCGCCGACATTGTTTTCATCCGTTTACGGGTATCCCTATTTAATTATATACGGTTGATCACCCTTCTAAGAAAAGGAAACCAGTCGTCAACGCGATATAACTAAATACCAACGAGCTCTAGAACGAGGCTTGACCACGTGCTTGCATTAAACACAATCTATAAATACCGCTCAATGTAAACAAACAATCGAGGATTCTATCTCATTCGAGGCTGAAATGGAAACAGGGGCCTATCCCAGGTAAAACATTGAAAAGTTGAAAATGCCAACATGAATAACCGGAAAAGTTTCGAGTTGAAAAAAACCTATGCAGAAAACGATCTAGGCATTTTATTAGTTTAAACAAAATTAACGAAAGTGACAATATAGAGGGTATTGATAGGGTTTTTTAGGATAGAGAATAATGGGCAATAAAACATAAAGAATATTTGTTTACAGAAAAATTGCCTAAAAAATAAAGAATTGAGAAAAATGAGGTTTTAAAATATAAAGAATTGAGAAAAAAAGCATAACAAAATAAATATTAAATAAATGAATTAAGGCCCCTTCCAGACCCAAAAGAAGTACCAGAGAATTTACTTTATTGTCTTAAATGTTTAAGACCAAGATTTGTATTATACAAATCCTTGTTAAGACTAACAAAAATATGAAAGAATATTAGGAATAATTTTAAACAGTTGGGGACAACCACAAATGAGGGAATTTTCCCCCTAAAAAGTAACAATCCCTAAGTTGAGTAATAATCTACTAGTGCTTAAAATATCTTTTTACTTGAAATGGTACAATTTTATGGAAAAAGATTTTTTTTTTGGCAAAAGAACTAATAACTTTTTATTGGAGAAAATAATAATTTTTCATTTGACCTGGAGAAAAAAACAACATTTGTTTATAAGTTATATATTCACTTTCAGATACAAAAATGTAACCTCAGAATGCAGGATTTTACATATTATTTTCCAAAATTTTCTTGGGGGGGGGGGGGGCATGCCCCCAAACCCTCCTAGGAGGTTCGGATCACTTCGTGATCCTCATCAGTGACACAAAATTTTTCAGGTCTAGTAAACATCAATTCGGGCTAGTTATTTTATGGGCTAGTGCTTGGAAAAGTTTTTGGCACAGACTGTACATTAATCAAGAAGATCTAACCAAAAGTATGTTAATGCGTGTGGAATGCGTAATTTTTCCTTTTGGGATCAATTTTTGTCTGTCAGCAGTGCCATTCATGCGTCCGTAGTCATTATCATAAAAATCTGGATTTCGGTCATAGCAGGTCCGTTTCCGATGAAATCCCAACTCCGATCTGTTGTTGTACAATAATATGCCCAATAATTTAAATGGCGGACAAAGAAAAATTTACAAAAAATAAACGATGTTTGATACGCTATTTGGAAAGGAATATGACGTTTTTAATGCAATACAAGGATAACAAATTTACTTCAGACAAATTTCATCAAGTTCTAATGAAGTAACAACTTATTTTGCCGAAAGTTAGAATGATTTGATGTACAATCTCGAGTAACGAGTACTGGAAGTGATAAAAAATTGTTTTTATGAAATAACATGCCATCAACTTTTAAATCAATGCTTTAACCTCTTTTCTGAAGAAAATAAATCGTTTATGCCTTGAATTTCTATACTTCTAAATGAAAAATTGCTGTTTCATCGTCTTGGTAAAAATTGAATATTGCCGATGACAAAAGCGACAGAAAGCGAGTATCGTAAACCACAGGGCGACTTGTTTTCGCTTTTGAGGGTCAGGCAAAGCGAAGTGACGGTTCTTCGCCCTAGTCGCCTGGTAGCGTGAGCCCTGATACCATCTCAATCTTTGATTAATACTCAGTGATGACATGTATTGTATACTGATTCCTCGTACTGCATTTTGTGAGATAAACTGACATAACTCTACTTTTGAAACTTATTAATTCTCATGTTATAGCTCTTAAATCTAATTTGTGTTCTGTGGTTTCTTGCTGTCCCATTTGATAAACAATGCTATTGACTTGAATGAAAACAAAACAATACTCTACCATAGTACACGTTTATACATTGTTTTAATAGAATCTTTGGCAAAGAACAGATCAAGAAGGCAAAAAGTTGGTAAGGCAGGAAAGTTTGCTGCTTTTGAAAAATTAAAGAAAGCAAAGGCATCTGGTGAAAAGAATAAATATGAGGTACAGTAGTCAGTTAAAATTGTCATTTGGTGTTTTCATGCTTAAATTTGTAAGAAATATCTATGTGAGTATGTATTTATTTACAGCTTCTTTTAGCTAATTATTTCATTTTGTTCTGAAATGTTTGAAATATTTGACATTTTGTCATGTCAGCATTTTATACCTTGCTACAATGTATGGATTATTCATATGTTAAATGCTATATTGTAACCTATAGTTGCCTAAAATTGAGAATGGAAATGGGGAATATGTCAAAGAGAACATGCCTAAATCTACTTCATTTTGTCCCTGGTAAATAGTTGTTTCATTGGCAATCTTATTTTTATATTGTAAAGCAGGTAAGACATTTATTTATCATATGGAGGGCATAAATATTAAAGTATTATTAATAGTGTTTAATAATAATACTTGAATATTTATGCCTCCCTACGATAGAAAGGGAGGATTATGTTTTCCAGTCTATGACAAAAGACACAAAAGTAATTCTGAAGAGCTCTCATAGTTACCATAAGCTAGTTCAAAGCAAATTTCAACTTTAATAAACAAATCTATGTTTTTCAAAATATCAATCAGTACACATCCAATGAATTTAGTGTAAAGATGTCTCAAACAATACAAGCTTACTTAACTGTTGATTATGCTTCATTTAAATAACAAAATTTTGCTATAAAAAGATAACAAAGTAGCTTAAATTGTACCCAAGTCTTATAAAACTTGAAAAAGTGAGCTTCATACAACTGTCTTGACTACAACATTTGAAAAAAAAAATGAATTTAATAATTTCAAACTTCTGTACAGTGTGATTAGGAATTCCTTTATCTTTTTTGTTCAAAATATCTAGGGCGAAGAAGAGAAAGATGTGTATGAATTGGTGAATGAAGATCAGTACTCCAAGATAGTACAAGATAGACAAGATGATGACTGGATTGTTGATGATGGTTAGTATGAGAATGTACAGTTAGATTCACAGTAATAATCACTTGTACACAGGCACCTTAAAATGAGTCTTGGTATAAATTATAGCCAGTTAAAATTCAACAAGCAAAATCTAACTTTTTTAAAAAGAAAATTTCATTTTTTTTTCACCAAGCAATTTATTTGATCCCAGCAATCAAATTTGACTTCCATATAAATTCAAAGAAATGATCAAACTAATCTTTTGATTTCAGAATTAGATTTTTGCTGTTTAAAAAGAAGACTTGTCTTCAAAATATTAATGTCATACATAACTGATAATACATAACATGAATATAAAACAAAAAATGGGCAAAAGTCTGCCAAGCCTGCAAGGCCACCAAAATGTTTTTAATAATAAACAGTTACTTATAATAATAATTATATAAAATTTGACATATTAACTTTTTTTTTTTCTCTCTTCATAAAGTCGATTCCTTCAAAAAATCTATCTCTTCAAAATGCATACTGATTATGAACGGAAAACAGGTAACAGTCTCTGAATGAGAATAGATCCTGTAAAAAAAAATTTCATGCTTTTGTACTTTTTGTACTTTTAACTGATAGATAATTATAAGTGTTCTGAATCAAATCTATATGGAAGAAAAATTCTTAACACTTCTCTTTCCTATTCCCATTATAGAAGAGTAATTTTTGATAAAAAAAAAGTAGTTTTAAGTGCATGGTCTACTGTCATATCACGGCTGTTCCAGAAAAAATACTATGGAGGAGTTTCATTAGTACTTATCTCTGTCTCCTTCATTGACATATTTGTTTACAACTTATTCAATTGAAAATTTCAGAGTTGCACAGAGACTCTATAATATAGACTTATGCCAAAATACATCTTGTGTTTCTCTCATTTTGAATTTAAACATATGTCACTATGCAGAACACCTTTTTGGGATCCAAATTACAAGCTTAATTTGTTTTATTATAGATGGATCTGGCTATGTTGAGGATGGAAGAGAAATATTTGATGATGATATTGGAGAAGCACCTACAAAAGATAATAGTATGCATGTCTTAAGAATAAAGTGCTGTTTTTAATTTAACTATTAAAGAAGTTCAAATAATCAGAGGAAATTTCTATTAACAAATTTAGTACAAACTATGAACACCATATCTAGTAAAGCATAAAATAAGAGACAAATGCTTGTAGATTGAGAGTCCAGATGTGATTCATATCATACATCTAAAGTATTTGCTTCATGCAATTGGTAATGATATATCCATATACTTTGTGTTGATCAGCTTGTGAAAACAAGGCAACTTTTTTCTTTAAAATCATGAAATCATAAATTTGCTGATAATTTTTCATCTGTATTTGATTAATTTTGTGTTGGTTTTTATCAAGTACATATATATATTGGTGTTAACAAGTCACATTATAAAGTTCCTTAGATTAATTAGGACAATAAAAAATCTCACAGAAAAATTGAAAACATGAATTCCAGGTCTTTTCATTAAGATTTGATGAAAAAGGAAAAGAATGCCTTCATGGCAGATTTAAATTTTGAACACCTCATTATTTTGATTACTTAAATAATGATTTTTAAAGGCAGTGCTTTAATGCCTTTCTAGTTGCCGGGTTAATCCTTCCTTCCGCGATATCCAACTTATCTACGTGGGGGGTCGTTAGGCTCCAAGTAGATCCGGAAATGTTGAATTCTCTCCTCTTCTTATTGTGATATAAAATGATTTTTGTTTCATTTCATTTACATTAGGAAATAGAGAAACGATCATTGTGTTTTGTTAGTTTTAAAAACTTTTGATATATTTGTATTTTGCATTATAAGCAGTCAACCGATTGACAAACTAGAATTATTTGAATTCCGTGTGGAAAGAGCTCGGGTTAATTTCGAGTGTTATCTGCAATCTATATGTTTATAAATCATTTCAGTCGTTGATATAATAATTAAAGGTCGACTGAACATGAATTATATTATACAATTTAAAGCGCATTTCTGTTTATGCACGTGAACCCGTCTAACGTTATTGTTATTTCGCAATTATATAAAGTAGCAAATTATCGTTCCTGAATAGGTGGCGCCGTGGTAGCCGATCCTGTTCCTCAACTTCCGGTTTCTGCACTGTGCAACTATTTCAGTTACATTTTTAATTAACGATGCCAAGTACTTGTTGTTGTGTACCTGGATGTCATTTAAGAGGAGGACATGCATTTCCAAATGACTTAAAATGAAGGAAAAGTTGGATCAACGCCATGGCCCATACGCAGATTGGACGAGAACATGATTTGAACACGATGAAATCGTGGAGTCCATCTCAATCAGCTGTTGTTTGCAAGGCACATTTTACTGAAAAAGACTACGTGCAGGAAACTATTCATGGTAAAACTCTATTTTCTTTTTGAAATATATAATTATATATGTAATCGCCATGCGAATAAACCAAAGTCTGTTTACAACCGCAATTATCGTTTTAGAATAAAAGGGGGTGGTTAATTCAAGACGTCATAATTTTTTGGATTACGATTCAATGTGATCTGTTTGAGATTTTTTGGTGATTGCTACAATTATAATGATTTTTTACAAGAGGTATATCATACTGAGAATTATTTTAGCAGTAATTAGTAATGTAGTAATGACAGGAATGCATAAGCTATGCCTCATAGACTTTCTTGAAAAATATCAATGACAATGTTAACAGGAACAAAACAATGACATGCTCTCATCTATGTTATAGTTATTTAGGTACAAACAATGTACGTTTGTTGCATAAGCCTCTCATTGTTTGTCCTTTGGATTTACATAACATACATTGAATCAGGCAAACATAGTTTTATCCAGATTGTAATGAATAAATCTAGTTAATATTTCGCCAGGTAATACAAAGTATACACATATTAATGGAAGTTCATTTAATTATCAAAAAACTAATGTTTTATAACCTTTTTCAGGGCGCAAACCCACCATTCAGAGACTTAAGTCTACTGCCATTCCCAGCCTATTTTCCTGGACCAAGCAAGAGACTGAATCGTCCGCAAAAAGAAAAATCAGGGCAGTTTCCTGTTAAATCAAAAGAACTAAACTTGATGAATATTGTAGTAGAAATCTAGAGGAAAGTTTTGATTGTAAAGTTGGTTTTCCTGAAGAAGTCATTCATACTGCAGAAAGGATTTATGACTGTCCACCACCAACTGCCGAGCTAATGTTGAGCTTCACAGATGGAATTATGCAAACACCATCAATGCCTATGTTTTCAGCAGAGAATTTTGAAATGAAGACACGTGACACAGCCATGCATTTTTATACCGGTTTAGAGTTGTATACTAAATTTTTATTTGTTTTGACCACACTTGATCCAGCAGCACATTGTTTGAGATACATATATTTTCAAATTGATAGGGTGTCAGTTGAAAATCAGTTTTTTTATGACTTTGATGAAATTGAGGCATTATACAACCAACTTTGAACTTTCTAGATTCTAGATTGAATCTAGTGTTAAGAATATTGTGTATACATGGATTGTTTTTATGTCTAAACAGTGGTGTGAGGCTAACACTTGGCCATCTAGTGGTTTAGTCAGGTATTTTTCACCATCCAACTTCAAATTAAAGTTTCCTACGACTTGGATTATTATTGACAGCACAGAATATCCCGTGATAAAACCTAAAGCTCCTTAAGCTCAGGCAACCTTTTCATCATATAAAAACAGAAACACTGAAAATACTTGTATGTTCGACACCTGGTGGTTTAGTCAACTATGTCTCTAATGCATATGTTGGTTCTACCAGTGACTATGAAATAGTTGTAAGATGTAGAATAGTTCAATTATGTGATCCAGGTGACAGTGTGATGGCAGACAAAGGTTTAAATGTGCAAGATTTGTTTGCTAACTTTTTTCAAAAAAAGAAACAGAATTAGTTCCAAAACTCTTATACAGGATAGAAAAGTCTCCAATTAACATGTGCACATAGAGCGAATTATTGGACCTGGCAAAACATACAAAATTCTAATAAATCCTATGAATGGAACTGAAACAAAACTTTCATCTGAAATAACATTTAGTTGTTTTATGTTGTGTAATTTTAGAACTTGTATTGTGCCAAAGGATGCATAAATAAAAGTGACACAATGAATTTTGTTCTGATATATATATATATATTTATAATTACATGTACATGCACATGTAAATTGTAATGCATATAAAAATAAGGAGATGTGGTATGATATTCAGTGAGTTTATCGAACTAAAGTGCATAAGAAATGGGTTTAAGCAGTTACAGGTGTTACTGTCACCGTAAAATCTCCAACAATGAGAAAAACTTGTACCTTGTAAAACATTTCAGAGATCTTACCACTAAGTTTTGTTGTCTCACCTTGACTTTGGTGAATTGTTTATATCTGTTGATGTAAATGTAAAAAAGAAGATGTGGTATGATTGCCAATGAGACAACTCTCCACAAGAGACCAAATGACACAGAAATTAACAGCTATAGGTCACAGTACGGCCTTCAACAATGAACAAAGCCCATACCGCACAGTCAGAGCTCTATAAAAGGCCCCGAAATGACAATGTAAAACAATTTAAACAAGAAAACTAACGGCCTAATTTATGTACAAAAAATGAACGAATATAACAATTATGCAACACATAAACAAACAACAACCACTGAATTACAGGCTCCTGACTTGGGACAGGCACATACATGTACATACAGAATGTGTCGGGGTAAACATGTTAGCGGGATCCCAACCCTCCCCCTAACCTGGGACAGTGGTGTAACAGTACAATATAAGAACGAACTATAAAAATCAGTTGAAAGAGGCTTAACTCATCAGATGGATAAATACAAATACAAGTGGACGTGGTCGGGTAGTTGTACATCCAAACAACAAAAAGACACTAAGTACAGATCTGAGAGTACTCAAAGTTACTGACAGCTACATGTAGTTCAAAGCCACTAACAACTGATAAAAAAATCTTGCATCTAAGACTAAATTATCAATCCGTAAGCTCCCTTTAGAATTTTATAAATTTTAGATTTTACATTTCTGAGTTATGGGGTTTTATTCATTAAAAAAGGGAGGATTTTCCAGTTTTTGTTGAGCCTGCGACTTTTGTCGCAGAAAGCTCGACATAGAGATAGTGATGTGGTGGCGGCGTTAGCTAACTTCTTAAAAGCTTTATATTTTAGAAGGTGGAAGACCTGGATGCTTCATACTTTGTATATGGATGCCTCATGTTACAAAGTTTCCGTCAGCCACATGTCCAATGTCCTTGACCTCATTTTCATGATTCAGTGACTACTTGAAAAAAAAGTTAACATTTTTTGTAATGTTAAATTCTCTCTTATTATAAGTAGTAGGATAACTATATTTGGTATGTGCGTACCTTGCAAGGTCCTCATGCCCGTCAGACAGTTTTCACTTGACCTCGACCTCATTTCATGGATCAGTGAACAAGGTTAAGTTTTGGTGGTCAAGTCCATATCTCAGATACTATAAGCAATAGGTCAAGTATATTCGGTGTATGGAAGGACTGTAAGGCGTACATGTCCAACTGGCAGGTGTCATCTGACCTTGACCTCATTTTCATGGTTCAGTGGTTATAGTTAAGTTTTTGTGTTTTGGTCTGTTTTTCTTATACTGTATGCAATAGTTCTACTATATTTGGTGTATGGAATGATTGTAAGGTGTACATGTCTAGCTGGCAGGTCTCATTTGACCTTGACCTCATTTTCATGGTTCAGTGGTCAAAGTTAAGATTTTGAGTATTGGTCTTTTTTCTAATACTATATGCAATAGGTCAACTATATTTGGTGTATGGAAATATTTTATGATCTATATGTCAGTCGCGCAGGTTTTATTTGACCTTGACCTCATTTTCACAGTTCATTGCTCAGTGTTAAGTTTTTGTGTTTTGGTCTGTTTTTTCTTAAACTATAAGCAATAGGTCAACTATATTTGTTGTATGGAAGAATTGTTAGCTGTACATGCCTGCCTGGCATGGTTCATCTGACCTTGACCTCATTTTCATGGTTCATTGGTCAATGTTTAGTTTTCTTGGTTAATGTTAAGTTTATGTGACAGTTGTAATAAAGCTTTATATTAAGGACTATCAACATAATATCAGTGATTAGTAAAGAAGGCGAGACATTTCAGCGTGTGCACTCTTGTTGGACAACAACTCAAATATGCTTTAAGCAGTTCGCATCAAACTTTGGTGAATTATTTATAGCTATTGATGTAATCTCCCTATAGATTTTCATAAATTTCAAATATGACATTGAGAAGAAATTGAACTTTATTTGTTTATAGTCTGGCAACAGATTTATTAAGTATTGCACAACAGCACAGTGTATTGCACAACAGCAAGAAATCTTTAATTGAATATAAATTCAATTCATATAACCGATTTCAAGTTCTTTGACTACATTTATTCAGAAACTATAATATGTCAAATATTTAATTACAATCCAAATTCAGACCTGTATCAAGCTTGAATATTGTGTCCATTTTTGCCCCAACTGTTCAGGGTTGGACCTCTGCGGGTGTATCCAGCTGCGCTCAGCGAATCAGTTTATTTCTTAATTAAGAACTCCTTTTTTTATTCATAAATTACTTTAAACTTGGAAATATAATTTTGCTTGGAGTTATAGTTTCTTAAAAAAGTATTGTCATTGAAAGAGTTGACATGTTGCAATTTACATTTATTCTACATAGTTCTATGGTACCAAATCAAAAGTTTATATAAAAGAAAGAAGTCAAAGGTTTCCCATCATAGTTAAGTTACATACTTTTTTTTTGTACCTGAGGTCGTTGAATATAGATCATTATATAAATAAGGAGATGTGTTATGATTGCCAATGAAACAACTATCATCCATACTTAACAGTAACAAACCACATTTGCAGAGTTGAATAAAATACAGTTGATAACATTTACTTATTACTAAAAAGAAAATGCCTAACTATTTTAAACAGTATTTGAATGTCAATTATATGGTCATTTTTATAAACTTCCTGTTACAAAACTTTGAATTTTTCGAAAAACTAAGGATTTTCTTATCCAAGGAATAGATTACCTTAGCCCCATTTGGCACAACTTTTTGGAATTTTGGGTCCTCAATGCTCTTCAACTTTGTACTTGTTTGACTTTATAACTATTTTGATCTGAGCGTCACTGATCAGTCTTATGTAGACGAAACGCGCGTCTGGCGTATTAAATTATAATCCTGGTACCTTTGATAACTAATTTGACTATAAACATAGATAAAAAAGGTACAAACTGGACATAATGCACTAGTTCATAAACAAGTGAGAACAATCACCTTCATATAGTGCTCAGAATATGACATTCATATAACTTGTTCAATATCATTAGAGAACTCTAAATCTTAAATACTGAAAGCCACCTCTGATAAGTACACTGTACTATGCAAGATAATGATATAACTGGACTAAAAATACACACAACCTGTAATTAACTGCCTTTACAGCGCTTTCGCGCTTTGATTCTATTTTATGTTTATTTCCTGATTCTGAATGGCTTAACCATGCTAATTGCTATTGGGTTAAATCTATCAAGCTGCTTTTGAGTGTTTGATGCAGATAAATACAACCGTCTCTAGTAGAGTTGTTATGATACACAAAGAATAGATATAACACTTGAACAAAGTATCCCAAACATACAAATATATGTAAGCATGTGGATCATAGTTACTACACTACTGTACTACAGTTTCCAAATATATGTAAGCATGTGGATCATAGTTACTACACTACTCTACTACAGTTTCCAAATATATGTAAGCATGTGGATCATAGTTACTACACTACTCTACTACAGTTTCCAAATATATGTAAGCATGTGGATCATAGTTACTGCACTACTCTACTACAGTTTCCAAATATATGTAATCATGTGGATCATAGTTACTACACTACTGTACTACAGTTGCCATATGTATCTGTTATACTGTATGATATGTAATTGTATGATATGTATATATATTATGTGAAATGTCTAATTATTTCCATCATATTATAACATGTATATAATACATACCAGGTTACACCAGAGTTCTCAGTATTACACATATTTTTTGGTTGTGTGTATGATTGTCATACATTATTTCAGAAAATAAAGATGAGAAAAAAAAGAAAAATCACAACATTGTTAGACCTGGAACAAAGCCTAAATCTAACATTAAAAGTATGTTTATGGCACAAGCTGCTGGTGGGTCAAAGAAAAAACAAGAGGTAAGGATTGCTGTTTTGCTAACATACCATTGCCTGTTGGATCAATACAATGTATACTCTAAATTGAGTTTTAGAATAATCATTTTCAAATGAACTAAAAACTAAATTTATGTGTATTTTATGTGAGCCTTCTTTTATGTAGTACCACACTACATGAGGACTGGGAAGAACCATTTAGTAGATTTAATTGGTATTGATTGGTATGACCAAGGGTCTGGAAACGGTCATATTTGCCAGTCATGACCTAAACTGAAAGCTATTTGTCCTAAACGGCAGATTATGATTTAGGAAAAATTTTATTTTTTTGCAGAAATAATTTCTGTCATTTGATTGAAATCGGATTTCTTAATAGCCAGTTTACCCTCGTTTTTTGTTTTGTAATCCCTTTCCTGTAATAAAACTGCCACTCCAATATAGTATAATCCTGAGGGCCCTCCTAATAACTATATTACTGCCTCCGGGAATTATTGGCTAATGATTGCTAATCACTTTTTACCTGTGTTTTTAATTCACACCTGACATTGATCACAAGCTCCGACCTAATATCATTAGAAATTAAAATTCCATAACAACTGTCTTCATTATTTAATTACTTTTCAGCAAAGACAATCGTCAATTCTGATTTAAAGATTAAAACTTAATTTAACATGTTTAATTTACGTAGAAAAAAGTATTTTTTCTCGTGTTACACATGTGCTTTATTTACTATGTAATATGCATGCGTGAAATTGTCATCAGCAGATTAGACACTTAATCGTAAATGCAAAATGATTTCATGCTAAATTAAACGAGTGCAACTATTATCTGTTGTATTCAAACACTTTTAAAGGTAATAAAAATTAAAACTTTATAATTTTGCATTTATAAGTGAAGAAATTCAAAGACATAAACGATTTATTTCTTTATATTTAAAAAGATGTGAAAGGATTGACTTTACAGATTGGTCGTATGTTATTTCAAAGAAACAACTTTTATGAAGTACTATCTTTCACTTCCGGTACTTGTTGCTCGAGATCGTATATCAAAACATTCTGATTTCGGCAAAATAAGTTTGTTAGTTCTTAAGTTAGTGATCAAAATTGCCTTTAGTTAATGTTTGATCCATTTCTTGCATTAAAAGCGTCCTATTCCTTTGCGAATCGCTTGTCAAACATTGTTTATTTTCGTAAATTTTTCTTTGTCCGCCATTGAAATATTTGTACAAACAATGGATTGGAGGCAGGATTCATAGGAAGCGGACCAGCTATGACCGAAATCCGTATTCTTACGACAGTAACTATAGACGCCTGAATTGAACAGCTGACAAAAGAATAATGATTCCAAAAGTGAAAATTACGCATTAACAGACTTTTGGTTAGATCTCCCTGCTAAATTTCTATATTTTCATGTAAATACATTGTTTCAATTTATTGATAAAAGTTGCTTAACTTTGTTTAATTTATATATCTTTTTAATGAGAAACTATGAATTTTATTAACATGATAAACAGAATAGTTTTTAATTGCATTATAATTGATATATGATACTTTCTTTTCCTTTTTAATATAAAAAAAGTTCTTTTTAGTGCTAGATATTTAGTTGGTAGATTCTGAAAAGACGGACTTTCTATATTATATATATGGTTATTATAGAAAGTCCCTGAACAAGAGGACTAATATAATTGTGCAACTATAAATGACTATTTAAGACATAAACTGAAACAACTGTTACTTTAATTGACTCGGGTATGAATTGAACACCTATATAAAAAAAGAAATAGGTTACATATGGCCCTTTATATTATGGTAAAAACCAAACATTGAAGCGCCGCGAGCGATCGAGCACTTGTCTTTCAAACCTCACCACTTCTCCCTACCAGTTTCAAAAAGAGAAGTCACTTCTCCCTATGATTTTGAAGTAGTGTCAGCCCTGATATTTAATTTTCTGAAAAGTATTTACGAAGTGGCCATTTTTGGTAAAATATTTCATTTACAATGTTTAAGCCATCACATATGACATGTCTGCATTAAAATGATGTCAGATCCAATATGTTATCCATTTTTCATGTAAAATTAACTTTTTAATTTCAGAAAGATGTCAGTTTAGCTAATGATGAATTGCTTGGGGATTTAATGGCTGATTTACACAAAGGTCCAGATGCTGGTATTAAACCGGTACCTATCAAACTCAAAAAGAAACCTGTAGGATCTACAAAGTAAGTTGTAGTCAATGATCTTCAATCAGTCAAAGTTCACAATTGGTTGAGAAATATTTGGCACAATAATTCACCACTATCAAATGATAGATCTATTGTATTTTGTGAATGGATATACTATCAAAGAAAAACATGTGTACCTGTCAGTTACCATTTGATCTTGACACTTAAATTTAATTCAAATATTGCAGCAGATGAGGCCTTTAGTGTTTAATACTATTTGTTAATATTGGATAATTTAAAGTATTCTTTAGGACAGATCTACGTAATTTAATATTTATAAATGTTATCTGATAAATTAGAAAAATAAACCAAGTAGAATTTTTATATTATGTTACTTTGCAGGTCACCATTTAATCCATTTAGTACATCAGCAAAACCAGTTTCACAATCTTTGAATGTTAAACCAATTAAACAGGAGATCAGACCTTCACCAGTACAGAACCAGAGCAAACCCTATACAGCAGTTGCCATTAAAAAGCCTCTTCCTAAACCTAACATCCCTGACTCCAATGATTACGATGAAGTTGATGGAATGGATATAGAAACTGTAGATACGTCAGTACAAAACTGTACAGAACAAGGTTTGTTGGTTTTTAATGAAGAGTGCAATTTTTTTTTTGTTCTGAATAATTTTTTATTTCCATTTAGCTGAACATGGAATCCACCATATTTTTACATGTGTGGGAGGTAGAGGTATAGATTTCTAAAATATGCAAAGTTTTTTGATATACAAAAGATGATGATGATAGATGTACAAAAGTTCAGAGCCAAGTTTGTATATATATATATAGAAATAGAACATTGCAAAAACTTGTTTGCAATGGAGGTATATAACATTGGCACCAGTCATGTACCAGAAATCAGATTGATTAATCACACATAATTGTCTATTTTCAAAGATTCACAATATGTTACGCAAGCATTCAGTTCTGAGATTATAGGAAATATACACCAAATAAGTCCTTTTATAAAGCATATTTTTTATTGCCCCAACGCAGCGGAAGGGGCATTAAGTGTTACCCTTGTCCGACCGTATGTGCGTACATCCCAAAATTGGTTTCTGTTCTCTTACTTTAGTTTGCCTCAACAAAATGTTATTAAACTTATACACAATGCTTATTACCACAAAACTCAGATCAAGTTTGAATTTGGGTGGCGTCACTTGTACCGTTCTTGAGTTTTGTCCCTTTATAACGTTATGTGCAAGCGGGGGCATCATCTGTATACCATGGACACATTCTCCATTTATTTTAAAATGCAAAGACTGAACAGGTTTCTTATGAAATTTTACAAATCTATTGAATGACATTTTGAAGTATATCAGAAATTAATGTTTACAGCATATAGTTTGATAAATAAAAAAATCTACATTTGAAGATGATTCTGGTCTAATGGAACTGAACGATGTTGACTTTGATGAGAATGTTGATGAAGAAATGTCTGCGGGTGGTGAAATGACGGCTGTTAAAGTAAAAGAAGAAAAAGAAGAAATGTAAGATAACTGACAAATTAAAAATAGACAGCTACTTCATAATAAAGTATATAAATAAAAGCACCACATAGCTCATGAATCTGCATCCATCCCCCTCCCTGCAATTGTACAATATGGAAGCCATATGCATTGAATGTTTATATTTTTGCTGATATTAACATTTTCGTAATTATACAAAAAATTAATCAGACCATGAGATGATGGAGAGATTGATTATATTAAAAAAATAGGAGAATAGGTCATATTTTCAGGAAAATGCAAGTTGTAAATAGTGCTATCCTTATCATGTCTATTTGTTTGCAATAATTAAAACATTGCAAAAATTTTCTTAATATATAGATTTAAAAAAATATCATCAGTATACCTAAGGAACAATCTCTTAAGATGACTCTCTTGACTAAAAATAATTAATTCAGCTTCTAATAATTTACTGTGTTTTTTGTCGAGCCTGCGACTTTTGTCACAGAAAGCTCGACATAGGGATAGTGATCCGGCAGCGGCGGCGTTAGCTAACTTCTTAAAAGCTTTATATTTTAGAAGGTGGAAGATCTGGATGCTTCATACTTTTGTATATGGATGCCTCATGTTACGAAGTTTCTGTCAGTCACATGTCCAATATCCTTGACCTCATTTTCATGGTTCAGTGACTACTTGAAAAAAAAATTAAGATTTTTTGTAATGTTAAATTCTCTCTTATTATGAGTAATAGGATAACTATATTTGGTATGCGCATACCTTGCAAGGTCCTCGTGCCCGTCAGACAGTTTTCACTTGACCTCGACCTCATTTCATGGATCAGTGAACAAGGTTAAGTTTTGTTTGTCAAGTCAATATCTCAGATACTATAAGCAATAGGTCTAGTATATTCATTTTCAAGGTTCATTGCTCAGTGTTAAGTTTTTGTGTTTTAGTCTTAAACTATAAGCAATAGGTCAACTATATTTGTTGTATGGAAGAATTGTTAGCTGTACATGCCTGCCTAGCATGGTTCATCTGACCTTGACCTCATTTTCATGGTTCATTGGTCAATGTTTAGTTTACTTGGTTAGTGTTAAGTTTATGTGACAGTTGTAATAAAGCTTTATATTTAGGACTATCAACATAGTATCAATGATTAGTAAAGAAGGCGAGACATTTCAGCGTGTGCACTCTTGTTTAAGATTTACGATAAATAATGTATATATATTTGTTTTATTATTTTATATTTATTTAGACCTTTAGAAGCTTTGTCTACTGGTTGGACAACTTTTAAGGAAGAAATGGGCAGTAGCCAGTCAGAAAAAATTACAGACATAGAAGTTGACTCTTCACACTTACCATTGGTTACTAATGAATCAGGTGACCAGGTTCTGAGATTTTATTGGTTAGATGCCTATGAAGATCAGTATTCAAATCCAGGTAAATCAATACACAATTTTATCTATCAACAGCAATACCTCAGCATATTATAAATTATGCTGCCCTAGTCTCTCTGTAATCGTATACTTGTGCATCTACTCAGGTTGGTTATGCTTTTAATAACTGGGTTGGACATATGGTTAACTTGTAATATATACTAGTCAACAAAAGTAACGATACACAAGTTTGAAATCCAATTTATCATAAAATATAATAAATAGGAAAAACTGTTAAATTATCCAATGAAAAACATTCATTTGCAAAGCAAATGCATACGATTAAAAGAATATGACCAAATTGGAAAGTAAGGAAATACCATGGTATTGCACATAGGGGTAAAATTTATTTTGCAGAAAATGATGACAAAAGTCGCCACTTAATTTCGAAGATGAGAATTAAATATTCAAATATCTGCAAAGGCATTCAAAATTTTAAGCAGACCATGTTTAAGTTTTAAGTTTTAAGTTCTAATATCGATATTTTAATTTTTGGGTGAAAATACGATTTTTGAAATAACAAAAATTGCAAAAAAAAGTGTCGTCAATTTTGCATATAAATTCATATGTTTTTATTACATTTTGTGATTTTTATGCATGTTATATTTTACCATTGTTTTCACTACTCTACTTTTGGTGAACATGAACTAGCTTTGCTTTTGTCTAAACTAATGGAGATGTGGGGTATATTTCAATGAGATATCAACCTATTTATTCCTATTATTAGATTACAGTAGACATTTCTATAATTAGATTATGGAAGAAACCTTTTGTTTTTATTCTTTTTATGCCCCCACAACTGAAAGTTGCATATTGTTTTACCCCTGTCTGTCCGTCCGTCAGTCCCATTATGGAAATATAGTTATTCCAGATAACTCCTCCTACAGTTTGAATGCTAGGAAGTTTTTACTTTGCTGGCTGTTTGTACATATATTGCAGGTGTGCATGTGGTCAGAGTTTTGATTTTTATTGATATTTGCTCTTTTGGGAGATAGTTGAACTTTGTCATTTTTTGGAGTATTTACTTGCATAAGAGGTGCATAGCGTTTCCAGATAACTCCTCCTACAGTTTGAATGCTAGGAAGTTTTGACTTTGCTGGCTGTTTGTACATATATTGAAGGTGTGCATGTGATCAGGGTTTTGATTTTTATTAGGGCCCTGCCGAATGGCGGACGCCCTATAGTGATCAGTCTGTCCGTCCGTCCGTCTGTCCGTTTTGTGACCTCTCTATATCTAGAGAACCGTTATGATTTCATAGTTTATACTTGACATGTATATTAACCAACACCAGAGGGTGTGTCATAATGTATGTACAACTTCCTAGGTCAAAGGTCAAGGTAAAAAAACTTTGGTTTTAGTTGACAACCCCATGTCATATGGTAAAGATCGTGTCTGCTCTATTTCTTGAGAACCGTTATGATTTCAAAGTTTATACTTGACATGTATATAAACCAACACCAGAGGGTGTGTCATAATGTATGTACAACTTCCTAGGTCAAAGGTCAAGGCCAAAAACTTTGGTTTTAGTTGACAACCCCATGTCCTATGGTAAAGATTGTGTCCGCTCTATATCTTGAGAACCATTATGATTTCAAAGTTTATACTTGACATGTATATAAACCAACACCAGAGGGTGTGTCATAATTTATGTACAACTTCCTAGGTCAAAGGTCATGGTCATAAACTTCGGTTTCAGTTGACAACCCCATGTCCAATGATAAAGATACAAATTTTTTACCACATATTATTCACAGCGGGGCCCACAGAGATGGCTCCCATCTCAATGATATCTAGTTAATATTTGCTCTTTTGAGAGATAGTTGAACTTTGTCATTTTTGGAGTATATACTTGCATAAGAGGTGCATAGTGTTTCTGAATAACTCCTCCTACAGTGAACCATAGACCTATGTGCTCCCATGCTCAACTTTTGATTTTTATTAATATTTGCTCTTTTGAGAGATAGTTGAACTTTGTCATTTTTGGAGTATATACTTGCATAAGAGGTGCATAGTGTTTCCGGATAACTCCTATAGTGAACCATAGACCTATGTGCTCCCATGCTCAACTTTGTGTATTTTAGAATAACACTGCATCTGCGGGGCATCATTTGTGTCTCCCAGACACAATAATATCTCAAAGAAAGTCCTACATTGACTTTGTTATAATACAGTTACTTCAGAGTGGAGTAAGGGGGCATCACTTTGTTTAGTTTTAAGTTATTGTTAGATATTAAAAAAGAAATTGCACACAATTTTCACTTGTAGCAATGACTTTGTGCATATATTGATTTAGACAAATTTCTTTTGTAGGTGTAGTGTATTTATTTGGTAAAGTTTGGATAGAATCTGCCGAGGCACATGTCAGTTGTTGTGTTACTGTTAAAAACATTGAAAGGCGAATCTTTGTTCTTCCCAGACCAACTGTAAGTATTTACGACTATTTAAAAAACATTTATGAAAAAGATATAATCCAAAACAGAAAAAAGTTGTTTTATCGTGGGATATCATGAGGTGTATGGTATATAGAATTTCGAAAATGAAAGAAGAATGGCTTGATTTAATAATATTATATGATATGTAACTCAGTCTTAAAACAGCTATGGTTGAGGATGATGCATGGCTGAAAATACTGTTAATTGAAAATATATTGTTCTTGTATATAATGGCAATAATTTATCAGAGGATAAAAATGCAAGATTTATCAATGCAATTTCAGGAAATCTTTCATATAGGTGTTGTGATAAGAATTTAGAATATGACTTCTGATTGATGTGATAACATTTAAATGTTAGAAAAAGCTAAAAAGTTTTGAATATACAGTATAATGAAATAGAAAAATGGGGTACATATTAAAGAGTAAATCATCAAATTTAGACAATTTGTGAAATTTTAGTGATGAAATATAAAAACTTCATAGACCTCATGACAGTTCTTTACTCATTTTTAAAAAACGATCCTTTTTAGATGTATTAGAGCATTTAAATTAGCATGCAATCTGACATGTTGAACTGGCCTTTTTGATACATACATTATATATATATATATATATAGATATTTAACTGCATTATATTTACTATATTTATGCATGCATACATACTATAGGAGGATCGATAAAGGTAATTTTGAAAAAATTAGCACATGAAAAACAATTTTATGGTTGAAATAGTAATAATCGGATGTAATTATGTGCTCTATTTGATGATGTAATTGGCAAGGGCTATTTGAGGAAAAAATGTTAGGGGAAAAGGGGGGGGGGGGGGGGTGTTGGACAATTTTTTTGGGGGGTAAAGATTGCATTCATGCAATCAAAACTACTGTTGAGACTGGCTTGATAGTTATCAATATTTCAAATTTTATCACTTAGTGCATTGTGCACAACATTCTATATATCACTTCCATTAACTTTTTAATCAATGAAATAAATACTCAAATATTCAAGTTACAAAATGATATATCATTATGTATGTATATAACCATACTTGTCAAGATATTTACATAAATTGTGAATGGTGCATGGTGCATGAATATAGTGTGCTTTAAAAATATCAATGTCATTAAAATAATATTTAAAATTGGAGTTATCTTCCTTTGTCCAAATCATATAATAAAATTTACACAGAAAAAACATTGTGGGGTGTCCAACCCTCCCATAAAATTTTTCCTTGCATAGCCCTAAAATGATAACATTTCCTCATGAGAATGAATAATGTTTAAGACGTACTAGCTCCTTAGAGGTTTTGATTTCTATTATTTTTTTCTGTGTTTTGTATAATTTTGACAGCTCTCTTGGTATTATATCTTGATATGAACAGTGAATTCTTTTTTTTATTGTTGCCTCATAGTTTTTCTTTTTACTAAATCTTTTATAGACATGTCTTAGACTTGCATTTGGTGATGTATTATCGTTTATGGAAAAGTTTGTCAGATTGAACTATTAACTTCCTCTCATTTGTTATAGTGGCAAATATTTCATGAATATTCAGTATGAGAACAAATTTACAGTAAACGTAAGGGGGTAGACAAGAACTAAGGACAGGAAATTAAGATTGCCACTGGAAAAGACTGGTACGTTAATAGGGCAGAAATTTGTCCTTACACACGGCCAACTTCTAAACCCTCGAAGAGCTGTTGCATTGGTTCTTTTAATATGCAGAAAGCTTAGCCTTAGAGGCATGAAACTTGCTTGTAGTGCATTTTTATATGACTAGAATTCTATCTCTTATGATCAAATATCGACATCCACTCTGCTGTCCAGGAATAATGAATACTTAAACAAGTTCTAGGTTAATTACCAGAAAAAATTTAAACCTTGTTAATGATTTAGGGATATAAAACAAAATATTTTAGCTCTGCTATTCTTACTATATGATTGATAGTCACAAAATAATACTGAGAAATAAATTAATTTTTGCAGAAATACCTGAAGGGAGAAGATACAGGATCTGAGGTCTCAATTGTTGATGTCTACAATGAGTTCAATGAAAGAGTGGCAGAAAAATACAAGATTCCTAAATTTAAATCAAAGGTAAGGAATAATAAACAGAATAACTGCATTCATTGTCCCATTCATTGTCCTAATTGTTAAGAATTCAATGTTCGATGGACTAATGCAAACTAAGCCAATTCTTTAGATACATCCATTTGTTTACAATATTAAATTTTATTGGTGGATTTTCAAACCACACTTTCTACTATTTCAACATCTCATGTTTTTAATCTGCAAGTTTTTTTCACTATTAAACAAAATATTTCAATGTTTCAGTTTGACAAAACAAATTGATTTGTATATTCACAGAAAGTTACAAAACAGTATGCCTTTGAGAAAGTAGAAGTTCCTGTGGAATCAGACTATATGGAAATCAGATATTCTGTAAGTACTTTTTTTTTTAAATCAGATATTCTGTAAGTACTTTTTTTTAAATCAGATATTCTGTAAGTACTTTTTTTAAATCAGATATTCTGTCAAGTAGTTTTAATGAAATCAGATATTCTGTCAAGTAGTTTTAATGAAATCAGGTATTCTGCAAGTAGTTTTAATGAAATCAGATATTCTGTAAGTACTTTTTTTTTAAATCAGAAATTCTGTAAGTACTTTTTTTTAAATCAGATATTCTGTAAGTACTTTTTATTTTAAATCAGATATTCTGTAAGTTCTTTTTTTTTAAATCAGATATTCTGAAAGTACTTTTTTTTTAAATCAGATATTCTGTTAGTACCTTTTTTTTAAATCAGATTTTCTGTAAGTACTTTTTTTTTTTAATCAGATATTCTGTAAGTACTTTTTTTTTTAATCAGATATTATGTAAGTACTTTTTTTTTAATCAGATATTCTGTAAGTACTTTTTAAAAAAAAAATCAGATATTCTGCAAGTACTTCTTTGAAATCAGATATTCTGTCAGTAGTTTTCATGAAATCAGATATTTTGTCAGTATTCATGAAATCAGATATTCTGTAAGTACTTTTTATGAAATCAGTAAGACTTCAGGGGCTAGAAGTTGACTGAAAAGTGGGATGGTGAGTGGAAAACTTATGGAAAGAAAAAGTTCACACACATCTTTAGTGTCATAGTCTAGAAGTTAGATAGTCAGTGTTCTCTTTCAATAATTTTTGCCTCGCCTTGACGTAGTCTAAAAGCAAGACATAGGTATGCTGTTTCCGGCGGCGGCATCAACAATGTATTAGTTTGTGATTAGGTCAGTTTAGGGGGAACCACTAGTGGTTGGTCAATGATATTTAGTATGCAGTTGTATAAACATTGGCATATTTCATTTCCATGGACATTATTTGGCCCCACCCCCTCTGTCATGGTCTATTGACTTTGAAACTTTTTCTTAGTTTACATGTATTAGTTCGTGATTAGGTCAGTTCAAGGGGAGCCATTAGTGGTAGGCCAATGTTAATTGGTATGTGGTTGTATAAGCATTAGTACATCTCATTTCCATGGAGAATATTTGGCCACTCCCCCTCAGTCATGGTCTATTGATTTTGAAACTTTTGCTTAGTTTACATGTATTAGTTTGTGATTAGATCAATTTAAGATGAACTGCTAATGTTAAGTCAGTGATATTTGGTATGCAAATTTATTGGCATTTTCAAGTCTTGTTTCCATGGAGATTATATAGCCTCACCCCCTCATCATGGTTCATTGACTTTGAAACTTTTACATAGTTTACAAGTTAATGTTTGTGTTTAGGTTTGTTTAAAGGGAACCACTTATGATAGGTCAATGGTATTTGGTATGCAGTTGTACTTAATAGCATTGGCACATCTCATTTCAGGGATAACTTACATGTTAAAATATTGCTATTTTAATTTCAACATTTGCATTATCAAAATTACAAAAAGGCTAGACATATCTCTGTGTTAACAGTTTATTTCAAAGAGTTTGGGGGAGGATATTAATTTTTTTTTAGGATCTACAAATTTTATTTTGCTGTATTAAACCCTCCATTACTATGTTTGTTGTGAATATCGCTAAAAAGCTAAAATTTAAGGCACAAGTTGGGGCCTTTTATAGCTGACTATATGGTTTGGGTTTTTCTCATTGTTGAAGGCCGTACGGTTGCCTATAATTGCTTACATCCACTTTATTTGAACTTTGGTGGATAGTTGTCTCATTGGCAATCATACCTCATCTCCTTATTTTTATATATAATGTTTATTATATAACTAATTTTACTTCCCTCATTTCAGGCAGATAGTCCTGCTTTGCCATCAGATCTGAGTGGCAATACTTTTAGTCATGTGTTTGGTACGCATGTATCAAGGTAAGTTGAAATTTTAAACCACTTACCTAAGGAGAATCGTGACTAGTAACTATGTTACAGATATATATATGAATTATTACAGTTCATTATTGATTATTTTTCCAATTTGTTTACATTTAAGATCAAATATGGGGTATGAAAGTTCTGTGAAATGGGTAGGTTAGCATCTTCGCACGCGGTGTTGTTTGAAGATTTATTTACTGCAGTGTAGAACCTTAATTTCTTTTCAAGCAATTTATTAACAAAGCAAAGCATTGCCCTAAAAAGAAATATGGTAAAATGGTAACACTTATGTTTTCTCTGATTCATAAACATTGAAATTAACATTTTCAGAGAGAAATGACAATAATCCCTCTTTGGATTAGTTTTAAGTCCTTATCCAGTGAAGCTGAAGGGGAATTTAGGTTTGCACTCCGTCTGTTGACTTTTCACATTTTTTTCTGTAATACAATCAGTGATATTGTTTGCCTCAAATTACAGTCGAAATTCGGCTTTTTCCTCTAGAGAAAATTCCCAATTACTAAAAAAAATGGCTTAAAATTCCTCCCAAAAAGTTTTACATTTTCCCCAAACAGTGATGGCATTGGTAGTAATGATTGTAAATATTGTATTCATGTTATTATTTTGATATTAGAAAGCACTTTTGAGATCCGGTTTTCTGATCAGAATCATCATGGTGTTTGTAACACATGTGGTTTTCAATGCATTAAGTACCATCATTGCTTCTGTTTCTTTCCCTTCTTAGAAAAGTACCTTTCAGGTTGAAAATGTCTGATAACCAAAATATACATGAAAAAACAGTGCAAAAAAGACTGCAAAGGTCGGCAAAAAATCGGAAATGTGTTTAGAATAAAATATACAAATTTCCCAATTTCAATAAAAAAATATGCATTTTTCCCAATAAAAAACGGTAGAGGTAGTTTTGAAAAAAGACAACAATATCACTGACAATCTATTGACTGTATTTGCGATGTAGTAATGTCATAAGAAATTTCAGATTAATTATTGGTTTTGCTCAGATTTTTGCTGAAATTTCCCTTTAGTAATAGGAAATTGTTTTGAAAATATGTAATTTCTAAATCAGTTGATTTTATATTTGGTACTTGGATGTAGAAAAATGTTTACACATATCAGTTTTCCTGACTTCTTTTTTGTAATGCCCGAAACATTTGATTAGACATTTGTTCTATAGTCATTATCATAACTTGCAGAATAAATTTGCTTTCAGTTTCAGTTAAACAATTTTTGCAGTAGTTGTTGCCTTATGACATGGAAAATTGCTTCAGAATATCAGCTTTGTAAATACTTTTTTAATAGTGTTTTAATCAAGATATTAAGGTTTTTATAATATCATAAGAAGAACTGATTAAGTTTTGAGTTTAGTTCAATTTAAGCGATTTTCACAGAAGTTGAGGCTAAGGACCTATAAAATTTCTGGAAAATTCTTCTTTTTTGCACCTTTTTACCTGCATTGCTGAAGGCGGAAGCAGGTTTAGTAACTGCTAGACTCCGTCTGTCCATGGCTTCTATGAAAGGGAATGATTTAATGTATGTTCTTAAGCTTGATAATGAAGCATTATTTACATCTGCCGTGTAGCCATTTCCTATTTGCGAATAGTTTGAAAATTATTACAACAATTATTGTACAAGGAAAATTTTCGTCAAAGTTTTCTCTGCTTCTTTGAAAGGGAATGATTTTTAATATTTTGTCTGCAGCTTGATATGATGAGTTGTAGGGAGTAAGCAATTTTTACATCTGTCTTGTAGCCACTTCATGTTTGCCAATAGTTTGAAATTTTACAACACTCATTGTACAAGGAAAATTTGTCAAACTTTTCTTGGCTCCAATTAAACTTAATGATTTTAATATTTGGTCCAGGAACTTGAATTGAAAGTTCACCAGATCTCCCTGATAACCAAATGCTTGTCCCATACAAGTATTAAATCATCCGATGTTCCAGCCCGTAGGGGACATATTGTGTATTCAATGCTCTCAGATAGCTTGTTGATATAAGAATTGTTTGTTGTTGTTGCAGTTTAGAACACCTTGTTCTTGAAACTAAAATGAAAGGACCAAGCTGGCTTGATATCAAGTGTCCACGTGAGTTTATGATTAGAAACAAACCTTTTCTAGTGAACAAAGTAAAATAAGAACAGTATTACATACCTAGTCAAAGCAATATGATCTTTTGGTTTATGGAGATAGGCTTTTATTAAATGTTGCTATTCAAGTTTTCTTTTTTAAAGTAAATCTTTGAATAGTTAAAATGAATTTTTTAAAAAAGGCAACAGAATGTGCTGGAAGGTGTATATGTTAAATTGATAGATACTTTGTAAAGTTGGTTGATTGTTGGTTGCTGAACGTCCAGTGGCAAATATTTCATGCATGTTTGGGATGATAAAGTTAGAAGATAATTTTTAATTAGAAAATTATGATTAACAGTAGAATTTAATGATTTAAGGCGTATTACCTTTGTGTTTACTTTTTTGGGTAGTACAAATATGTTTGTTATTAACAGATTTATGTCAATTTTACATATATTATTATTATTATTATTTTTTTTTTTTTTTTCATTTTATTAATTGCATTTAAAATTCTGTATTATTATTTTATTCTTCAGAAATTTCAACACCACCTATAAGTTGGTGTAAATTGGAAGTAAGTAACAATAAACCATATTATATACTGCCTTAATGGTCTTTTAGCCTGCTCCCACACAGATGGGGCGATATGCGTAATTAATTTTACATAGGCGGTAATGGTAATGTTTTCCTCTGTAGCACAGTCCATATCGTAAACTTGGATATGCATAATGGCTCATTTCGAAGCTGAGACATTTTCACATATGTGGTTGAATTTTCGGGGTACGAAGTGTGATTCATTTTTCCGTAAATTAGCACACCCCGAAAATCCTTTTGTGATGCGGCTCCTGGTGGTAAAAAATCCCTTTTTTCACACAATAAGTTCTTTGAAAATTTAATACTTTACATACATTTAATAACTGCATAGTTTTTACACATTTATTCTATGGTCCTCTACTTTTCAAATCAACACAAATGGTTAAGCTCAGTCAATTGTTAAAAATAGAAACATGTCCAATATCACTTCACAGATAATTTTTGTTTACACACAACTTTTGTGTTCCTCAATTTGAGGCGCATTAGGGATATTGACCCAATATAAATTGGGGCAATATGCGTAATTAATTTTACATAGGCGGTAATGGTAACGTTTTCCTCTGTAGCACAGTCCATATCGTAAACTTGGATATGCATGATGGCTCATTTCGAAGCTGAGACATTTTCACATATGTGGTTGAATTTTCGGGGTACGAAGTGTGATTCATTTTTCCGTAAATTAGCACACTCCGAAAATCCTTTCGTGATGCGGCTCCTGGTGGTAAAAAATCCCTTTTTTCACACAATAAGTTCTTTGAAAATTTAATACTTTGCATACATTTAATAACTGCATAGTTTTTACACATTTATTCTATGGTCCTCTACTTTTCAAATCAACACAAATGGTTAAGCTCAGTCAATTGTTAAAAATAGAAACCTGTCCAATATCACTACACAGAGAATTTTTGTTTACACACAACTTTTGTGTTCCTCAATTTGAGGCGCATTAGGGATATTGACCCAGATGGTGATGCAGTGGGTTCTATTCAAGCAAGATGAAACCAGACTTTAATTGATATTTGCCTCTCCTCTGTCAGCAGTCTTGGTTAGTAGAAAAAGCATAGTATTACATCAACATGTCTGCATGCTGAATATGGTTGAAATATAACATTAAACACCCACTGTCCATTCAAATAATCTGTTAAGAGAGAAGTTTTGTAATATAAATATATATACTTTTTTTACCTCTGTTCTATATATATATATATATATCAGCAGGGTTTAAGTACATCCGTTGTTCGACCTGCTAGTCAAATGCGTTTTGTTAAAATATACTTTTTCACTTTTTTGGTCTTTTGGAAAATGTTGTTTGTGCCTTCCAAATACCGTTTCGATTCCTAACATCACTGAAGAGACATTAATTGTCAAAATCCGGATATGGTGTACAAATTTTTGCACCTCATGTTTGCGATATACCATCTTTTCCGCAAGTTTATTGTTTTCTGTTTGGTATTAAATTAATATAATTAAGATCCATTGTGTTACATCTGTGATCCGTTTATTTGGCAATCGCCATGGCAGTCAGCAGGGTTTAAGAACATCCGTTGTTCGACCTGCTAGTCAAATGCGTTTTGTTAAAATATACTTTTTCACTTTTTTGGTCTTTTGGAAAATGTTGTTTGTGCTGTATTTAGACCCCTCTACAAAGAAATTTGTTTTGCATGCACACGTATAAAAATTGCGGTTTTTATCCAACACAATCATAGGTTTGAACGTTGTTTTCAATTTAGACTTGTTTATATATATATATATATATATACTTAGGAAGGGGTTTACTGTTTTACCTCTGTACTATATATATATATATACTTAGGAGGGGGTATACTGTTTTGCCTCTACTATTTATATATACTTAGGAGGGGGTTTACTGTTTTACCTCTTTACTATTTATATATACTTATGAGGGGGTTTACTGTTTTACCTCTGTACTATATATATATATACTTAGGAGGGAGTTTACTGTTTTACCTCTGTACTATATATATATACTTAGGAGGAGGTATACTGTTTTACCTCTGTACTATATATATACCCAACGCAATCATAGGTTTGAACGTTGTTTTCAATTTAGACTTGTATATATATTTATATATATATATATATATATATATAATACATATATATACTTACTAGGAGGAGGTATACTGTTTTACCTCTGTACTATTCATATATACTTAGGAGGGGGTATTCTGTTTTACCTGTCTGTCCCATGAAATTATGTGGCTTGTTCTCAGGAACTACATATCAAAGCTTCCTGAAATTGGTTATCAGGCTTCATGTGAACTTGTTAGGGCCCCGCCGAATGGCAGGTCACCCTATAGTGATCAGTCTGTCCGTAACAAATTGTGTCCGCTCTATATCTAAAGAACCGTTATCATTTCATACTTTATACTTGAAATGTATATTAACCAACACCAGAGAGTGTGTCATAATGTTTGTACAACTTCCTAGGTCAAAGGTCAAGGTCAAAAACTTTTGGTTTCAGTTGACAACCCCATGTCCTATGGTAGATCGTGTCCGCTCTATATCTTGAGAACCGTTATGATTTCAAAGGTTATACTTGACATGTATATTAGACAACACCAGAGAGTGTGTCATAATGTATGTACAACTTCCTAGGTCAAAGGTCAAGGTCAAAAACTATGGTAAAGATACAAATTTTTTACCACACGTTATTCACAGCAGGCCCACAGAGATGGCTCCCATCTCAATGATGTCTAGTTATAACCATGTGATGTGCTTTTAGATTCATTGCTCATCAACTTTCTGTTTATCGAATTCGTAAAGCTGAACTATCATTAGTGAGCAGTAGCTCATAGTTATACTTAATTTCCTGGTATGTGCATTTCAAAGGAAATGGTATGAATTTACAATAATGTAGAATTAAACTTATCATTGGCCATAAGGGTTATCTCAACTCATCTGTACACGTAAGAACTCTTTTAACACTTTCGCCGACGAATCCCGGTTTAATGGGATTCACGCTTCAGACATCTGACGATGAGTCCTGGTTTACCGGGATCGGAATACCTCTTTTACATTTCCCGCTAAAAACATTGGAAACACAAGTTATCTTTCTTTGTTGAATACCCGGATGAAAGTGTAAACATGGCGCTTCCTTTTGTTGAAAACCGTGTCAAAATCGGATGAAATTTATGGATTTTACTAGAATTTGAAATAAGGAAACATTTTTTTTGAAAGAATATGGAAGAATTGAAGCCAGACTAGTATACTTTTTTTTACATAAAATGCTGTTTTATGTACAAAAACACTTGGAATGGACATCATTCAGTGTAAGGAATTTGTACAACCTTCTTGAATTTTTCAAACTTTTGTCGTTTTGGGTCAAAAAATTACAATTTTGGGTCAAAAAGTCTATTTCGAGAATTTCATCTCTCTAATGCCAAAAATTTGCAAATTTTGATTTTTTATGAAAAAATGATCAAAACATTAACAAAACTGTGTCCATGGTGTAAGTGAATAATATAAAGACATAAATAACTACGGACAAGTTTTTATTGATATTTAATATGAAGATCTCCAACTTGTGTCATAATAGCCAGGGAAGCCATCGTCTCAGAGTAGCTTCTGTCAGGCCGGCTATCGGTGAAAGGGTTAACAAAAGTCCACACTTATGTCATGTCTCTTATGGTGTGTATTTCAGTAATTTTTCTGACACCATAATTTAGACAAAAGTTAACTGGAATCAATTCTTCAGTATGTTTACTATAACTATCATGTCAGACAACCAATGTGGCATTAATTACTAAAATATAAAACAGCATTCATTAAGACTGAACTTGTCAGCAATTTCTGTAAGTTTTTCGATTATAGTTGAACTTAAAAAAATGGCAAGAGTTGTCTTTTGACATGAAACATCCTTAATATATATGAATTTGCATTCTAGGTATTTGTGACCAGACCAGATCATATTACTGTTATTAATGATGCCAGTTTATCCCCACCCCCTCTGGTTGTCATGACTTTTAATATGAGGACACTGCCAAACCCAAAGACACATCAAAATGAGGTAAACTTTAGACTATTTTAGGTGATATGTATTTTCTTTGAAACTTCTTTTTTTGTGAAAAGTTATGCTCAATGATTTACTTCAAATTTTTGCAAAATATTTTAAATGCAATGTTTGTGTTCTTAAATTTAAAAAAAAAATTGATAAATATGTCAAGTAAATCCTCCAAATAGTGAGACAATACAAGTCTTGATTATTATTTTTGTTACAGATCATTGGAATAGCTTGTTTGATACAGAAATCTTTAGCCATGGATAAACCAGCACCTAAACTTCCTTTCCAGGAACACTTCTGTGGTAATCAAATTTAGTCTCAAAAAACATAATATATATTTATTACTGTCATCTTCAATGTACAGTGTCTAAATGCCTATGTTAACTGTTAACATTAGTTAAAGGAAAAAAGTCAAAGAAGCAGCAACCTATCAATATAATAGAAAAAAAACAAGACACAAGGCTGCTTAGGCCACAAGTAATGTTTATATAGTTTTTTTTTTTTTTAGAGTTTTGTAAAATCATCAAAGTAGAAATTCAACCAATAACAAGTGATCATTTCCAAGTGTTGAACGATTCACCAAAACTTAGAAAGATACAGAAAAACATGGTAGCCAGGGAAAGAATTTAGTTTAAAATGTAGCTTGGACTACAGGGCTAGTTTAATTATATTTAGTGTAGCCCTGAATCACTAGTGAGGGTGGTGAAGCGACCAGAACTTGCCAGGGGGGGGTTTGGGGACATCCTCCCCCCCCCCCCCCCCCCCCCAAGAAAATTTTTCATAATTACATGCAAAATCCTGCAATCTGAGTGTATTATAAATGTAAAAATGATGTCTCATAAAAGCCCATTTTAGGGGTATCATGAAAGTAAATAAAAGGAAAATTGTTAAAATAATTATATTATATTGATTTATCCATTATGCCTGATAGGACCTGACACTATTTCAGTGTTTCGGCAGTTAAAGCTTGGGATGATCATCCTGACCTACGATGCATTACTTTAATATAATCAAATATACAAATTATTCATGTATCTAAAATGTATTTCAAGGTCAAGAATGCCATGTGTTGTAAATCTTTGACCTTTTAGTTACATCAACATCTAAGAAGACATTGTATCATTTGAGATTTCAAAGGTGAACTTAAATAAGCATCATAAGGGGTTATATTTATTTGCCAGATGAAAAAATTCTTTAATTTCATCTAATATTTCATTTTATATTGTGAATCCATTGTCCCTGTATCTACCATAATAGAGTATTTTGCCTTAAAGTTGAAATGCAGAAACTACTTGATTCATTGTTTCAAATATAAGTATGTCGCAGATTTCTGGTGAAGGGACTGCACCAAAAAAATTGCCATACCTTTTACTTGTTTATATATATTCCCATCAATTCAAATTCATTGTTGTCTAAAATAAGTTTCAACAGATGTATTCAAACATTGACTGGCAGAGCATTCATTGACTGAAATTTAATTTGTCAAAATTATCATCATGATCATAGGCTCGTTCAACTGCACTTAACAGGGCAGCTTAAGGTACCTAAATAGTAACCTTGAACTTGATCATAGTCATTTACGCTCTTTAATATTCATCAGAAAAGATAGTATTATTTAAAGCATCGATAAAACCACGAATTTTATATAAAGAACGAACACCACACGGAACAGAATTTCCGGAAATTGATAATTGTAAATTGTCTAGACACACGGTCTATGATGAAACAATTTAGTCTAGACAGAGGGCAATTTTTCTAGCCTTGGGCTGTCGGTCCTGCATTAATTTCCAACCCTGGGTAGCTACCCACAGAATCAAAAATGATTCTTTCCAAAAAGTAGTTTTGGAAATTTTCAAATGGAGAAAGTTATATGTGATCACCCTAGAATGCCTTGTATTTAAAAAAAATAAAACAACCAATTGATGTCATATCTCTTCCTTATTTATTTTTTTAGCAATTACTAAGCCAAATGATTGTATATTTCCCTATGACTTCAGAGATAAATCACAAAAAGAGGTAAATATATGTTTTTATTATATTCAGATGATAAATGAATGAATATTTCACTTTGAACTAATAAGAATCAAATAAAGGAATAGAAAACTGTTTCCTGTGTAAGTTTAGAAAATCTCTGATACTCAAGGGTAAGATTTTGTCTAGTTTGTGGATTTTCAAAGTTGAAATAAGATTGTCTTTAGAATTGGTATTTGCTGCTTCTTCACTAAGCATGCAGCCATAAGGAGTAATAGGAGACTGGTCGGCCCTGGGTAATAATGTTACTATGGAAGTTGACATATCTTCCTGTGGACTGATACCTTGTGAATTAGCATGTTAAAAATTTGACTCTACATGTCCATCTTAATACATATCTGACTTCATATCATCAAAATACATGCAGATACTCACAAACAACATACCTCTTTATTTATTTTTTTGCATCATTATAGCAAAAACATATAAGTGGGAGCGCAGGTTGATCCTATTTGTTCCTGAACCTTAAATGATATTTATTTCGATTTCTATTTTTTTTCTTTTTTCAGAATAATATGAAGATAGAACAGTTTCCATCAGAGCGGCCTTTGTTGGGTTTTCTTCTTGCTAAAATACACAAAATTGATCCAGATGTAATTGTAGTAGGTGTCTGTAATATCTTTGGAAGTCACATGACTTTGTTTAATACACATTACTATAAATAGAATGGTCAGCAATTATTGATAAATTTTTTAATATCTCTTCCTCTGACACTAAAATTCTAAATCTTTCGTAACTATTTTATAGGAATGATGATTTTGATGCACTCACAGCAATAAGATTTTTAATGGTGCACAATGATTTATTTGGTATTAAACATACATGACAATGCTGAATACTAGGTTTCTTTTTAAATATGAAGAAATCTTAAGATTGACCTAGATTTGGCTAGATGTACTGTATCCAGGGTCTTTCATGAAGTTTCATCTTTCAAATTATATGAAAAACAAGCTCCTTTCATCGTTGCCAGAAATAATTTTTGAATTTAAAGGAAAAAAGTTTTGAAAAATCTTGAAAGAGTCGGGGCAATACTTTCAAAGTTATAAAATTAAAAAGGTTTAAAACTGATGGTAAATGCATAGATTAAGAAAAACCATACATAAAGTGTATATTTTATAACAGATTTCTGTGGAAATGATATTTTTTTTCTGTTTGCAGGGCCACGATATATACGGTTTTGATCTGGATGTGTTACTGCACAGAATAAATGTGAACAAAATACCTCATTGGTCAAAGATAGGTAGATTGAAAAGAACAAAAATGCCTAAACTCTCAGTAAGTAAATATATTATTAAGTAAACTTTAACAGAGATGCCAACCATTATGATTTTTTAAAGACATTGCTTTTATTGGCATCATGTACATGCCATTTTGTTGATGACTGAATTATGAGTGCATAAGTTTTTCAGTCTTTATGTTTCAAGATCTAGCAAAAGATTGTTTTGCATGATTTCATATTGAAAATAAAGATAAAATTGAGAATGGAAATGGGGAATATGTCAAAGAGACAACAACCCGACCAAAGAGCAGACAACAGCCACCAATGGGTCTTCAACGCAGCGAGAAAATCCCGCACCCGGAGGTGGTCCTCTGCTGGCCCCTAAATAAAATTGTGTACTAGTTCAGTGAAAATGGCTGTCACACTAAACTCCATAACATATAAATGAACTAAAATTAAAAAAACATACAAGACTAACAAAGGCCAGAGGTCTACAAAGATCTACAAATAAGTCAATTCAATTGAAATTGTCAATTTTGGCACTCATACCACATCTTCTTATTTATATGTATCATATTTTTGTCACATCTTTCATGGGAACTTCAAATAAGTGCTTTCTGAAATTTCTATTTGTTATTACTTTTAAGTTTTACACATGGAATAATTTAGAAAGCACAAGATAAAATTTTATGACATTTGACAAGCAAAACTTTGTTTAAAAGGGTCATCCTGGAATGAAGAGTGGTTACACAGATAAGACATCAACATGCGGGAGATTGGCTTGTGATGTAATGATATCTGCCAGGGAGTTACTCAGATGTAGAAGTTACGATCTGACAGAACTGACCAATCAAATACTTCACCAAAAGAGAAAAGAAATTGAATATGAAGAGATAAGAAATATGTATTTGTATGTATTTTATTTTGAAATAACAGTCTGCAATTAGAAATTTTTAAATTTTTTTTATTTAATTCAGTAGAAAATAAAGAAGTTTTTTGGATCCATTAAATTTAGAATACTGTGAAAGTACTTTTATTCGTGGGGTACCAATTTTCATGGTTTTCGTGGATGGCTTCATCAACAAATTTAAGTGTCCAACGAAATATAACAACTGTTTTCCAAATCGAGACGAGGAACTTTCCCATGTACACGATGTAGGTTTGACTACATGGATATGGCGTATAATCTAGAGAATACTTTGAATATCGGTTAACGCACTATGAACTATATACATGTATATACAACTTCAGACAGGGTTTTACCCATTTAATCTTTGAAGAACCTAAACTGTACGTCTTTTAACCTTTTAATTGTCATGAAAAATTTGTTTTGATCGATGAACGTCGGACTTCCGGTGATGATATGCGATCATGAAGTGTTCATGTTATCTCCTTACAATTCGCATACATAAAAAAATAATTTCATATTGGGATTGCTTTCTTATTCATATGAATAAATTCTACAATTCAAATAACATTTGTAGAATTTTTTTATGTAAATGTTTTCTTTAAGTGACATGTTTATTGCCCAATTAACTCCTTTTATGATCGTTAATCTGTTGATTATTTGATCTCGGGTTAATTAGTGTCATCACTTCTGATTACACATGTTTACTTAACAATTTCCGACAACAATGACAACAATTTCGAGACAATTTGTAAGCATAGATAAATCAGCTTATTTCCGAAACAATTGTTTTATTAAAAATTTGATGATTGTTGTCAGAAATGAAAGACGATCAAGTAAGTGAAAATGGACACCTAATTTGCAATGTCCCTCAAATCATTATAAAACAACATATGATTATTTTGATAGCTTCAAATTCTTCACTCAATTTTTTTTCAGAAAACTAAAATCCACAAATTTAAGAACCCACTAAGATGTAACTTTTGCTCAAACCACGAAAATTGATACCCACGAATAAAAATACTTTCCCAGGATTCAGTACTAAGAATAATCAAATAACTTTGATCTCATGATGTTTTGAATAAAAGAATTCGAAGATTGCATAATAATCATTCACACTTTGCAGTTTTCATATCCTTAACTGATAGAAGTCTTTGATTGAGAAAATACCTGGTCAATGTCCCTCCAATGTCCAGGAAAGTTGGTCGCCTAACATAAGTATGCTATACTTACATAGGACTACATAGATTTTGAATATGAATTAACAGACAACACAAAAAATTTGTTACAAAAAGCTCTCAACAATTTTATCTTTGTTTCCTTTTTGATTATGTATTAAAGAACTGTAATGGTTCTTTGAAAGAAGCCATTAAAGAAGGAAAACAAAATTATTAAAATATAAAATGCAATTAACTTCTTATGTGGAAATGGTTTGTTTTCTAGGACATCTCAACATTTATTAAAGTTGATAGAGTTGACCTTACTGGATTCAACCTATATCCTGAGAATTATGTATGAACTCAATGTTATACCACTGGCTTTACAGATCACTAATATATGTGGTAATGTAATGGTAGGTATTATTATTGGTATGTCAGTAATACACTAATATATGTGGTAATGTCACGGTAGAAATTATTATTGGTATGCTAAGTTGAACAGCAATAAAAGATTGATTGATAGATTGTTGGGTGTTATTGCCACTTTCAGCTGAGTTGACTATTTCATGGAGGATATTTTAATTGGTGGAAAAAGCTTGAGTACCCAGAGAAAACCACAGACCCTTGGCAGAAATATTGGTATTCCTTATCTATTGAGATGAGAGCCAAATGCACCTTCCGTTGAAGGGAGTTCTAACTCAAAACTTCACTGTTGACAGACTAGTTGTTATTTCATAGTATTTCATGAGATTGTTAAATCATGTACATCTATCCAATATCCTTTCTTTTCTTTTTCCTTATGTACTTGATGAAGAACCCTTGCAACACAACTATCTGAGGTGTCAATAGGTGGCCTGTTGCAAGGCAAAATTTTTGCCCCTATCGAACATACCCTGACTTTCCAGTGCCAGTTCAAATTTCACAACCCTTCATTAGGTCAACTTACCTAGCAGAACCTACCTTTTGTATAATTTGTTAACTTGTTCTTGTCCTGATTATGCATGAAATCAAGTAATCAATAAAACAATTTACTTTCATGTATGTGACATTTGTAAAAAGTGTACTGGTACTGATAGATAATTTTTTGTAGACAAGAACTTTAATGGGTGGAAGATCAGAAAGAAATGAATATCTCTTGCTACATGCCTTCACAGAGAAAAACTTTATTGTGCCAGACAAGGAATACAAGAAAAAACAAATAATGGTAACATGAAAAATTTATAGTTTACTAGTTTATACTGCTGGTATTTTATATAAAAAAAGGAAGAAATTCAATTGAATGTTTTGGAATGATAGCTCATATGTTAACAAAATAGCAATTTTAAGATTTTTGTAAAAAGTACATAAATCATCAGGTTTTAATCATTTTGAAAACTTTGATTAACTTCATTTGAACTATCTTTAAAGTTTGTTACACCAGTCTCTGCCAATGAACCAACACAGCTACTAACGCTATTAAAAGAATATTCTGGTCATAATGACATATGTTTTGCTCAATAATGACCCTTGAATTAATAAATCACCTGTTAAGTAGATATTTTTAACAGTAAAAGCAAGTGAATAAGTTGTTCAAAATTTATAAACTTAATCATATTGAAAATAAGAAAAAATTCCTTTTAGAATGATGGACATGATGATGAAGATTTAGATGGAACCAGGACACAGAAAACACAAGGAAAGAGGAAGCCTGCTTATGCTGGTGGTTTGGTTTTAGAACCAAAGAAAGGTAAAGATGATTGATGATCATTCTTTTTCTCAAAATGGCTTGGGGTCAAGTTTGTTATTGTGAGCACCTTTTATCCTTTGTTCTGTTTTGTATGTCTTTTTACTGTTTTCAACTTTATATAGGGCAGATAAGATGATGGTCTGTTTTGAAACACATGTTGCTTATACTCGAGTATGCTGTGAAGATTTCATCCAATCCCTTGTGTCTGGATCTTCTTAGTTTTCGATGATATCATTTTTGTCATTCAAAAATTGTGGCACTTAAGACTCGCAGATATTTTTCTGATACTATTTTCCCTCAACTTTCTTTTTTATCTGGCCTAATATTGAAAATAATGGGGGGAAAAACAAGCATGTAAGATGTTAGAATAATTCAACAATATTGATGTGTAGGTGAGCAGGTCAAAGGTCAAATTTAGTGTAACTTTGAAAAGACAGAATTTTGGAGAGAAAAATCAGGTTGCAGAATATTTTCATTAACAATTGTTAATAGTAGTCATCAATTGCATATTGACATTTAAATAATATTCTTATGTTTGTATTTCATTAGTGGGTCAAAGTTCAAATTCCAAGTCATAAAGGGGGTTTAAGAACAGTAATACTTGAATATATAATACATTTGTGAAGGGCCCTTAGTACCTATTTACTATAAGGTCTGTAGGTCACAGGCAGGATAAGTACTGATTGACTTTATATGAAACATCTATTTAGAGATCATTGAAATGAAAAATCAAACTAATTCGCTTCCCTACCTGCTAACCCTTGTACAGTAAGTTAGTTATTTTATAATTTTTTAATTAGTACTTATAAAGAAAACTGAATGTTGGTCTTTTTATTTTCAGGATTTTATGATAAATTTATCTTGTTACTGGATTTCAACAGTTTATATCCATCGATCATTCAGGAATATAATATTTGTTTTACAACAGTCAACAGAGAAGCTGTTAACAAAAGTATAGTAAGTCAGATCTACATATAATATTTGTTTTACAACAGTCAACAGAGAAGCTGTTAACAAAAGTATAGTAAGTCAGATTTACTTCGTAGCAGATAACCATCAACGAGCATATGCTGTCTGTAAATAAGGGAAAACTATAAAACCTCTTGGCTGATGGCATGATTTGATTTAAATTTAGCCTGAATCCTTTGCTTCCCCAATTTCCGTGTGTATCAAATTAACAGAAGGAATTTCTTAAAATGTTTTGGTTTTTTTAAAGCTTCTGATGAACCATATATTGGTGACATTTTCTATGGTGATAACATTTTATATATTGTCCAATTCCCAATCTTCACACCAATGTAACTGTGCCTGCACTAAAAAAAAAAATTAAAAATGATTTGACCAATAAGAAAAAAAAAATTATTTTCACAAAGGCTAAGGCTATGGTCTGTATTACAAGAAGATGTGTAAAAGATAAAGAAACAGGCAAAAGAATTAGACTGATTTTAACCAATTTTTATATGAATAATCCTTAATATAAGATGTCCAACATCATACAATCGTGATGTTAGAGGGAAAATACAATTAGATGTATTGCTTGAAAATGTTGTACTGCAGTCCTGTCCATTTACACCATTCCGTATTGCACCATACGTCATACACTTCCTCTTTCCCCATTGAATCATACTCAATATTACAGTATTCAAAATCACCCATTATGCAATTTACAGAAAAAATATCCATGCTGATCAACCAAAATGGTTGCTATAACAGTGAATAGAAGATATTGGTACACATTCTAACTATGTGGGGTTTTTTTCTGTGAAACTATACATAATGTTGTTTCTTTTCTATATTGTGATCATCTGACTAACTTAAAAAGGGGTTTGAAAAAGATCTTTTTAAACTGTTATTGAACATGCATCCGAAAGGAACCGCCTTGCTACAAGCACCGATCTACAGACCACCAGCGTATACATGGACCAAGGATAATTCCATACGTGCGACAAAACAACAACTGAACCAAGATTACCAAGATTTGCAATACCACCTTACATACATGTACATCTATAAATGATAGCAGATGAAACAGACCACACACCACGCGGGTGCCGAACATAAATGAACTATAAATTTACAACCATGCCGATAAACAGAACAACTACAGCAGACGATCAAAAAATTATATATTTACCAAATAATTAACAAGGGAACAATTTTTTACAATTTTATTTTCCATTAGCGGCGACCAAAATCTTCCCATTGTTGCCGACGCGCCAGGAAGTAGTAACATCCAACAATGGCCAGGTTGGAAGAGAAGCATTGCGAAGTGGTAGGAACCATGGGAAGATCGTCCATTTAGATACCAAGCCTTTAGAACAATGTCATGTATCATATAAATGTAAAACGAACTCAATTTACATTGTAAACAAATTTATTTTTCTATATTTATCTTATCTATTTATAACTCTTTATTGCTACTTTCACTTTTCATTGTTTCTCTCACCTTGACAACGCCAAATTCAATGTACCACTTTGAGTACTTCAGTAATTAGTTTCTGTATGAAAATTGTCCTGATGACGCCTGCAAGGCAGGAGAGACATGTAGACCATAGCAAATAAAATTGCAGACCATTTGAAGTGTTGTTGTCAATTTTGAGTATTGTTATTGAACATATTCAATTCAGGCTTGTTTGTTATATTCAGACAGATAATGTATCAGTTATTACAAGAATTTGAGTTATATGAGGTATATAATTAATCTATTCTAATTCTATTTTGGTTTTTGATGTAGGTTGGGGGAAAAAACTGTGTAATATAATGCATAGGTTGATTTCAAAATTTTGATTCCAGTCATTAGTTTGTTTTATCAATTAATACATATATTTAAAAAAAGACTTTATATGACTTTGGTTGTATTTTAGAATTCAGAAGAGGGGGAATTGGTAGAAGTACCAGACTCGGGTTTAGAACCAGGAATATTACCAACAGAGATCCGTAAACTTGTTGAAAGTAGAAGACAGGTTAAACAGCTGATGAAAGGGGAAATTAATCAGGAGCAGTATATACAAGTAAGTAGATAACAATAATGTAATACTATAGTATTAGATATGTGTACCATGGTCATGAAGTAGCGAATTAAGCTTTAATGAATCTTGTTATCTGTTGTACATGTACTAAGTAAATGGATTTAAATGACTGTCTTGACTACCATATATAAACCAGTTTTTAGCTGGTTTGCCTGCTGCGCTTCCATTGCTTTACCTGTTCAGCCAGCTACTATACCAGTATCAGTAGAATTAGTTTGTAACATGATACCATAGTTGACAGATGTAAAAATTATTTTAACAGATTAAGTCTTTTTACTTTGGGACACACCCATCCATCCCATAACAATAGATTATACAAATAATTACTTAAATGACTCAAAAATTATCTTTTTGTGCCCCTGCCGTAGCAGAGGGTGCATTAAGGTTTAACCTTGTCCTTCCATACATACAGCTCGAAATTGGTTTCTGTTCTCTAACTTTAGTTTGCCTGAACCAAATGTTATGAAACTATTACACAATGCTTATTACCATAAAACTCAGATCAAGTTTGAATTTGGGTGGCTTCACTTTAACCGTTCCGGAGTTATGCCCCTTTATAACGTTATATGCAAGTGGGGGCATCATCTGCATCCCATGGACACATTCTCCATTTATCTTTTATCTTTTGGAAAGTCAATGTTAAAATGAAATTGTACAATAAAAAATTTTTTTTTAAATTTGTTTGATTATTGTCTACCTAAAAATTGTTCTTATGATTTCTGATAAATTCACATTATTTTATTTCAGTATGATATTAGACAGAAAGCTTTGAAGTTAACAGCAAACAGTATGTATGGATGTTTAGGATTTACGTACTCCAGATTTTATGCCAAACCATTAGCTGCTCTTATTACTGGCAAAGGAAGAGAGGTAACAACTACTGGTTTTAAGTGTTTGTAGATCAACAAAAATCATTTCTGCTTAGCTTATCTTTCAGTTTTTATACCCCACGCAACAAGTTGCGGAGGGTATAATGTTTTTGACCCGTCCATCCGTCTGTCCGTCAGTCTGTCTGTTTGTCCGTCAGTCCATCAGTCCTGTTTCTTGTCATCGCAATTCCTCTCAAACCACACAACAGAATTTCACTCAACCTTTTTAGATAATAAGGACATACTATGTAGTTGTGCATATCGACAGGAAATTACAATTCAATTTTTTTTCTAGGAGTTACGCCCCTTTGAACTTATTTACTTTAATGTACTACTGCAACAGTTTGTCATCTCAACTCCTCTGAAACCACTCAACAAAATTTCATGAAACTTTGTAGATAATAAGGACATACTACGTAGATGTGCATATCGACAGGAAATTACGATTCAATTTTTTTCCCAGGAGTTACGCCCCTTTGAACTTATTTGACCAATATACTACTGCAACCTTTTGTCATCGCAACTCCTCTCAAACCACACAATAGAATTTCATGAAACCTTTTCAGATAATAAGGACAAACTACATAGATGTGCATATCGACAGGAAATTACAATTCAATTTTTTTTCTAGGAGTTACGCCCCTTTGAACTTATTTGCTTCAATATACCTCTGCAATAGTTTGTCATCACAACTCCTCTGAAACCACACAACAGAATTTCATGAAACTTTGTAGATGATAAGGACATACTACGTAAATGTGCATATCGACAGGAAATTATGATTCAATTTTTTTTCTAGCAGTTACGCCCCTTTGAACTTATTTGCTTCAATATACCTCTGCAACAGTTTGTCATGGCAATTCCTCTGAAACCAAACAACAGAATTTCATGAAACTTTGTAGATAATAAGGACATACTATGTAGATGTGCATATCGACAGGAAATTATGATTCAATTTTTTTTTCTTACAGTTATTTTATTTCTCCAGTGACAATGTGGGGACGTGGGGTATGTGAGCGCGCTCACTAAGGTTCTTTAATTTTCATAGTGTAATGTCTGATTAGGTTTATATCAGAATTAAGTACCTTAAAAGATCATTAAAATGTATATTCCTGCTATAAAGGAACTGTTTTACCTCTGTCTTTCCCTTGAAATTTTTTGGTGCATTTTTCTCTGGAGCTTCCTGGAGTTTTCACAAATAGCCATTCCTTACCATGAAAAAAAAACCCAACTATATTAAAAGTAAAAAAAACAGGAACAAAGGAATGTACTCTACTTTAAATGTCACAAGGTCTTAATTATTGATACACTAATCTGCAATCACATTGAGTCATAATTTTGCTTCTGAGCATGGGACTTTTGTTGTGTGGAAATAATTACCTAGGTGAGTACGACATGCTCCTTTGAAAATCTTATTCAATCAGATGAGTTATATATCTGTGCTAATATTTAAATAGTTTTCAAATATCGATGATTTTTGTGATTATTTATGGTGTTTCAAACAAGAAGGTGTTTTCAACTACAATCTCATTGAAGGGCGGCAGCTCTGAGATGAGATGTAGCCGAGATACATCTTACAATATGAAAGAACATAGATAATGACGTTGTACTTTCTCTTTTTATTTGACTCGGAAAAATCCATATCACTCAAGTAGCACAATATGGAAAATGATATTAAGAGATAGATCACAGGAAAATTTTAGAAAAATAGCCATAATGGAAAAACAAAGGATATTGGATGTCTATCCAGGACCCAAAATCAGTACATGCACAGAAAAAAAAAACACAAAAAGCAAAGGAACAGTGCTTTTATTGCTGTTCTTCATCTCAAAGTCACAGTGAGGCATTCAACACAGTGCAAAAAAAAATAACTTACCTCACTGCAAGTTTAAGACGACTACTAGCACCTGTTTGAGCGGAATTCTTTGTAAAATAATTCTGATAGACTTTGTAAGATGTAAAACCACCAAATCAGGCCCTGTCAAAAAGAAAATACTGGAAAGTTGTACATGTTTTAAACTAAATAGTACCTATGCAGAGGTGCAAATATCAAACTCTGGAGAATACATTAAGGTAATTTTGGTATCAAATGAAAGGTGAAGGACTGGTGATCCTTGTAGAACACATTTTGACTGATAATTTTGAATAATACAAAAATGTATGAATGAACTCTAAAATCAAGGGAATATATTGCCTGTTTCTCAGATATGAAGTATCTGGTTTGGTGTATTCAAGGTTCCAGTATGGTCTGATGTGTAAATAGCAGTATATTGATCTCGCCCCCCCCCCATTAATGTTTGAAATTGAAAAATTTAATTTGTAAAGGAATGGGGGCTAAGAAGAGGCTAAAATTGAGAGAATGATGCTGCACACATAAGAGAAGTTATCTCAAGAATGAATACACCACAACTTTAAAAATTCAGAAAAGCATACACCTCAGACATGGGGAAACTTTCTATAAGTATAATTATCAGATATTTTACTTGTATGATTTTCTTTAAAGTACAGTGTTTTTTTTTCTTCAGATTTTGATGAAGACCAAAGATACAGTACAGGCTGTAAGTTTACTTGTTTGCTATAAATAAAAAGTTGGTATTGTAGAATTTTAGTGCTATAATAACTAGTGAATGTTAGTTTAACTCACGATTTTCTTTGGAAAATGCATGTACCAAGTTGGGAATATGACAGTTGTTTTTCATACGGTAAGTTGGTTGATATAGTGTAGCATTTTGGTTTTGAACTTTTTTTGATTAAAAGTCGATTTTTTAGGGTCCGGTAGGACCTTTTTTTATTTGTAAAATAAAAACAATATTAAATTGGGGGTAAAATAGGGTTTGGGTGAGTCATATATATCTATAAAATATACATAAAGAAAAAAATGCTATATTTCAAGCTACTCATCAGAGCTTCATTTTAGTCTCATTTTTGTTATGTGCATTATGAATTACAGGCTATACACACATTAAAGATTATTATGAACAACAAAGATATATTTTAAAGAATATCAGATTGGTTCCTTAGATTTTTTAATGTATTCCATTTCCATACAAATATGTACTAGTTGAAACAAGAAACTTTGGGGGAATAAAGTCAGTTGAGGTTGAGGTTTATTTAGGTTTGTAATCAGAAGTACCACATATATTTTCCTTTGTCTATGTGGAGCTGTATCAACTGAGAGGGTTTAAATAGAAAAGTTTGTAACTTATTTCAGATGAACTTGGATGTTATATATGGTGACACAGATTCAATTATGATAAACACAAATTGTACAGAATATGAACAAGTATTTAAGATTGGAAATCGAGTAAGTATTTTATACCTCATAGACTACTATTTACTTGATTGCATTAGATAACTTAAGATGATTTTCAGGTGTAATGATATGTAGTACACAAACAATCAGACTGGAACCCAATGACACAAAAACCAAAACACATCTTTGTTCACTTTATGACATGCATTTTTAGTAATTATCTACTCACAACTAAGTAATAGAAAGGATATACATACATGTAGTAACAGTACGGTTATAGTATAATATTTTGATAAATTTGTATAGAAGTATGTTTTAAAAACTAAACTTTATAGGCACGAAGAAAGTTACCGCCTAACATGCAGTTTTCCCAAAACTTGATATGGTGATTTCCCATCAATTCAAATAACTTTTAATAACATTTGAAGGTCATGTATACATGGTTTTAGGGTTAAAACTCTGATTTACTGGGTCCATGTTCTTTTAAGATTTATTTTTTCAAAGAATTACAAAATCAAAATTTAAAAAAGGATTAAATACTGCTATCTTTAAAATTTTCCATGTTTAATTTTAATCATAGGATTTTAATTTGTATGTTATTTTGTTTTTTAGGTGAAAACAGAAATTAACAAATTGTACAGACTTTTAGAAATTGACATTGATTATGTGTTTAAGTCCATGTTATTACTTAAGAAGAAGAAATATGCAGCACTTAGTATAAAGAAACTACCTGATGGTTCACTGAAGGAAGAAAAAGAAATGAAAGGATTAGATATAGTAAGAAGAGACTGGTGTGATCTGGCAAAGGAAGCAGGAGAGTAAGATTTATTGATTAATAATTGCTGCAATTCTTTTTATTAGAATTTCATTTGCCAAAACCAAACACTTAGTGTGCTGAATTCATATATTGCAGACTAATTGTTTTATTTCAGGAATATGTTGTGATCATAATTTGATACTTAGATGAATGAGAAGCTTCATGCTAAATACAATTATTTGAAATGGTCTTTAAAACTTGTTATAGCTGATTGAATATGACATCAATTTTCCATGCCATTCTTTGGTTATGCCATTTCTACTACGTTGAAAAGGGAGATTATCAAGACCAGACTCTCCAAATAACTTAAAATATGAAATATGACAAAAAGGCTACCACTTGTAAGGTTCCTGACTTAGGAAAGGCACATGCGCATGTGGTGTAGTTAAAACAAGTTTTATACTCCCATCCTAGACAGAATGTATTATTGTATACCCTTGTCTGTCTGTGTCCAACATCAACCAAATGTACAAAAACTAGAGAATGCTTCAATCAAATTCAAAGAAACTTTTATGGAACATTTGAATTGGTTAAAGAAAGCTTCCTTTCTATTTTGATAATTTTGCTGTTTGTCTTTTCCGATTATCAGAATTTTGACTGAAATTTAGGGCATTTTTTTTCACATATCACCCACTAACTTGAGTTTGCTTGGATAGATTAACTTGCTATTTTACACCGTTTTGTGATTGGTTAAAGTAAGCTATTTTACACTGTTTTGGGATTGGTTAAAGTAAGCTATTTTACACTGTTTTGGGATTGGTTAAAGTAAGATATTTTACACTGTTTTGGGATTGGTTAAAGTAAGCTATTTTACACTGTTTTGGGATTGGTTAAAGTAAGCTATTTTACACTGTTTTGGGATTGGTTATGATTGGTTAAAGTAAGCTATTTTACACTGTTTTGGGATTGGTTAAAGTAAGCTATATTTTACACTGTCTTGGGATTGGTTAAAGTAAGCTATATTTTACACTGTTTTGGGATTGGTTAAAGTAAGCTATTTTACACTGTTTTGGGATTGGTTAAAGTAAGCTATTTTACACTGTTTTGGGATTGGTTAAAGTAAGCTATATTTTACACTGTCTTGGGATTGGTTAAAGTAAGCTATATTTTACACTGTTTTGGGATTGGTTAAAGTAAGCTATTTTACACTGTTTTGGGATTGGTTAAAGTAAGCTATTTTACACTGTTTTGGGATTGGTTAAAGTAAGCTATTTTACACTGTTTTGTGATTGGTTAAAGTAAGCTATTTTACACTGTTTTGTGATTGGTTAAAGTAAGCTATTTTACACTGTTATGTGATTGGTTAAGGTAAGCTATTTTTGGATTTTGAAAATGTTCCCATTATTACATTGTTGTTAGATTTTAACCTTAATTAAGGCAACTTTTACGTGTTTCACATCAGCTAGAGTATGATTAGATCAATTTACATCAATCTTTGCACTGTTCCCTTCTGATATGTTTCCCTTCGAGTTATGAGACTTTAATTGTCAAATTTAAGGCTAGTTTTAATTGCCAAAGGATATCCTTATCCAAGTTTTTCATAAGAGACAATTTCCTGACTTCTAATTTAATACTTATTACAATATTCCATTTTATTCTTGCAACAAATTCAGTATGCATAGGACTAATATATCTTGCATTTCTGGCCCAGCTGTTTATTTGAGATCTCAATCAACATTGTTACAAATGACTCCACCTTTCAACCATGGAATGGATGGCATACATCATCCAATCAAAAATGGTGTTACATTTCATATTATGATAGAAATAGATAACAATAGCTTTTGTACTTTAATAAAATGTAATGAAAAATATATTTTTGTAGATTTGTAGTTGGTCAGATCTTGTCGGGAGAAAACAGAGAACTAATTGTTGAGACAATACACAGTAAACTAATTGAAGTTGGAGAAAAAGTCAAAAATAATGATATTCCAGTGGAATTGTACTACATTTCAAAGGTATTATATTTGAAAAAATAGAACAGTTAATACTTTTCACCTAGAAATTAAATTTTAAGTATTAAGATATAACTGAAAAACTAAGTTGTTGTGAAAGTTAGTTTGAAGTTTCATTGATTATAGCGTAATGTCTCGAGATATTAAAGAGATAATCTAGATTTTACCAAGAATTCAGTTAAAAAAGAATTGTGAATGAAAATTCACAGAACTTCATTGAAATTAAGTCAAGCAAAAGGTTTTATGATCAATCTTGAATATTATGATTATTTTCAGATAATTACCAAAAACATGCAAATCTTAATTATAATTACCCATCCTTTAGTCTTAGAGTATTTGTAACTTCTTTGGGAACCACAAAGTTTTTGCATTTTGATTGGTTGGATGAAATTCTAACTCTTGAAATTTTTTTCAATCTTTATGGTTCTGAAAGTTTTATTTTCAAAACAGCTCTTACGCATGTTAACATGGTATTGGTCTTGTTGCTTTTACTTATAAATTTGGACAAACTTAACACTTTCACTCCTGAATTATAATGTTTCGTGGAATTTTTAAGCCGAAATTAATTATCACGAGACGATTGCCTGACCGGAATTAATTTGACAGGTGCCGCGCAAAAATGAGTATCGTATGTTTGATCGCTCATTTCTCTGGAACATTGAATCTTGAAACACCATCGCTCTGTAGTTTGTTATATTTGTACACCGAAATGGTTTTATCTATCTCTCAACATAAGTTTTGTCAGTGAAAATTGTCCATTCAATTTCGTTTGCGTTTGGGCAATAATTTCCCTATTTTAACCCATGGATGTTTACTAGGGTGAGCCTACGTACCGTCTGAAAATTTTCGTCTCAAAGTAAATTTTGTTCGAGTTGTTTTTTCAAAAATATGATTGAAAATCGTCCGACGGTCACGAAGGTGAATGACCGCCATTTTGTACACAACAACACTGATTGAAGGGAGACAACAGGATCTGTTATTTTGAATTCCCATTTGCAACGCTGGAGTTGTCTTTCTTTTGCCCTTATTTAAGCATACTAACATTCAGCTTGAGTCATAAAAAATAATTTTCTAACATTTTAGACTCCTTAAAAAGTGTTTAATATCAACATTAAACAAAGACTTACAAAATTTTCAGTCTGGTTTTCAATTACATCTGAGACCTTGTCTGCCTGAGTAAACAGCTACTGTCCTTGACAAAAGTTCATTTATAAAAAAATGTCAATGTATTTAATGTTTTTCTCCATCCATTTTCTAAAAAAGTTTAACAACAAAACTGTCAACTATAGTCATAAATTCGGAACAAACTTCAAAAACAGAACAACAAATATACTGGTCTCAATTATAGCAGTTCCTCTCTGTGTGGTATTTTGAGAAACACTCAGGCAGACACAGGTGTTTATCACATTCCAAACATCCAAACTTTGTCTGCTTGATAGGAACCTGGGGATTATTTCGGTTTCTCATATAACAGAGATGGCACTTAGATTTTTTTTCAAAGGAGGGCGGCATGTGACGTTGAACAAGACGGTTCTCAACAGGCATAAGTGATTGTCTTCCTCTACGGGTCTCAGAAATATAACCATTAACCAACCCCTTGGCTACAGAAATGGAAAAGTCCAGGAATGTCGGATTTGTTTGGTGGTTGGTACTCATGAGAAACAGTTTGAAAGCATTAAATTTAGCCATTTCCATGAGCACAAAGAAAACTCTTTTGCTCCACTTGTAGGTTTTGTGGTTGTAGCAATAATACTGAATGTATTGATCAGCATGATCAACACCACCCATGTTACATGTGTAGTCAGCTACTGCCTTAGGACATTCAAAATTTTGTCTAGTGAAAGTTCCATTATTATTGACGAGCCTTTTTACTTGTGAAGTTGAATGGTCATGGATTGTTGAAACGGTGTACACATTTTTTTTGTCATGCCAACAGAAGCAAATAAAGATCCCTTCTGCCTGAATTTCATGTCTCCACGGAGGTTGATACCAGAAGGTTTTTTACACATTATGTCCTTAGGTAACCCTCTACGATTGTATCTGACTGTACCATAGGCATACGTACCAAAGTTTTCATAAAGATTAGCAAACAACTCGGGACTGGTGAAAAAATTATCTGTATAAAGATGGTACAATTTACCTACTAAATTTGAATTTTCGAGGCATCTCTTTACAACACTGCTACCAAGGTGTGTCTGGGGGATTGCATTTCGTCCTGGATAAATGTCCACATACTGGATATAACTGTAATGTGAATCTGCCAAAACCCAAGCTTTCACACCCCATTTGTGTGGTTTCTGTGGCATGTATTGCTTACATTGTACCCTCCCTTTAAATAGTATCATGGTTTCATCCACAGTGATGTTTCTGTGTGGGGTGTATTCCTGTTGAAAGGTGGTATGAAAATGTGTAAGTAGTGGTTTTATTTTGTATAGCGGGTCATAATTTTCATTGCCAGGCAGAGGTTGTTGTGTAGAGTCGGAGAAATGAAGATATCTCATTAACTGAGTAAAGCGATCCCGGCTCATGGTTTTGGAATATATTGGTGATTGCAAAAAGTTGTCTGTGGACCAATACATCCTTGTTGAAGGTTTGCGGTCTACACCCATCTCAAAACATAGGCCAAAAAAGGCATTCATCTCAGGTATAGTTGGTCTCACCCATGGCATCTTGTTTTCATTGGGATGGTTTTCTTTTTGTAATTTTGCATATGTGTCTGTTTGCTCTAAAAGCATCTCTAGCAGGACATTATTAAAGAAAAGCTTGAAGAAATCAAGAGGGCTTTTATCTTGAGGCATGATTCTTGTAGGGCAAGTTCTCCCAGTAGGTGTAAAAAGATGTGGCAACCCCTGCTCATAATATAAAAAGTCCTCATGCCAGCCATCAATATTTCCTGCATCACCAGCAGGTCCAGGTATATCATTATCAGATTATTCTGAACTTTCATTACCATCCGTGTCATCACCTATACCCTGAAATTGCAGTTGTTGTTCATATCTTGCTTCAGCTTCGTCGACCTCTGCCCGGGTGAAGCCTTCAAAATCATCGTATTCATCAGACGACATTTTTTTATGGGTGATATTTTACGAAGAGACGAGACTTACTTCCATCACTATTTTTAGTAAAATTATCCCACAAAGGTGACTAAAATTTCGCTAAATAAACACATTTATTAAATAAGCATCTAAGATAATAGTTTTAATCTTTTTATAAATTGAATCAAGCGAAAAAATGAACTTATTCCAGATAGTATAAGTTATGTCGCCGTGATTCCGCCATGTTGTTTTCATATTTTCCATAACAACATCAGTTTCCGGCTTTCTTTTTTTAGTTTGTTGGTTTTATTGTCGAGCCTGCGACTTTTGTCGAAGAAAGCTCGACATAGGGATAGTGATCCGGCGGCGTTAGCTAACTTCTTAAAAGCTTTATATTTTAGAAGCTAGAAGACCTGGATGCTTCATACTTTGTATATAGATGATTTATGTTACGAAGTTTCCATCTGTCATATGTCCATTGTCCTTGACCTCATTTTCATGGTTCACTGACTACTTGAAAAAAAAGTCAACATTTTTTGTAATGTTAATTTCTTTCTTATTATGAGTAATAGGATAACTATATTTAGTATGTGCGTACCTTGCAAGGTCCTCATGCCCGTCAGACAATTTTCATTTGACCTCGACCTCATTTCATGGATCAGTGAACAAGGTTAAGTTTTCGTGGTCAAGTCCATATATCAGATACTATAAGCAGTAGGTCTACTATATTTGGTATATGGAATGATTGTAAGGTGTACATGTCCAACTGGTAGGTGTCATCTGACCTTGACCTCATTTTCATGGTTCAGTGGTCAAAGTTAAGTTTTTGAGTTTTGGTCTTTTTTTCTAATACTATATGCAATAGGTCAACTATAAATGGTGTATGGAAATATTTTGTGATGTACATGTCAGTCTCACAGGTTTTATTTGACCTTGACCTCATTTTCACGGTTCATTTCTCAAGTGTTCAGTTTTTTGTATTTTGGTCTGTTTTTCTTCAACTATAAGCAATAGATCAACTATATTTGATGTATGGAAGGATTGTAAGGTGTATATGTCTGTCTGGCAGGTATCATCTGACCTTCATCTCATTTTCATGGTTCATTAGTCGATGTTAAGTTTTCATGGTTAAGTTTGTTTCGTAGATACTATAAGCAATAGGTCAACTATATTTAATGCCTAAATTGATTGTAAGGTGTACATGTCTGTCTGGCATGGTTCATCTGACCTTGACCTCATTTTCATGGTTCATTGGTCAATGTTAAGTTTCCTTGTTTAAGACTGTTTCTTAGAAACAATAAGATATAGGTCAACTATGTTTGGTTTATTGAATGATTGTAAGGTGTACATGTATTTCTTGTTTGGTTTATCTGACCTTGACCTCATTTTCTTGGATCATGTTGAGTTTATGTGTTACTTGTAAAGCTTTGTATTTAGGACTATCAACATAAAATCAATGGTTAGTAAAGAAGGCGAGACATTTCAGCGTGTGCACTCTTTTTACTCTTAAAATAATAACACAGGATAACGACACTAACAAAAAAATTGAAAATTATCTTGAAAATCACAGGAATTTAATGACATACAACACGATACCAGAAACTTAATTTTTAAGTGATTTTGAGGTGATCAAAAAAGTGATAGAAAATTGCTATTTTTGCAAGAAATACGAACACCTGCCAGACACCACAAGGCTTGATATCGAATCTATAACACCATACAAACAATTGAAAATTGATAGACTAACCTAAAGTATGTCATAAAGTTCTATTGGAAATTATTTTTTGCTTTTTTTTATGCTTTCTTTGTAAAATTTACGAGAATGTTGTTGGAATTATTCTCGTCCGCCAGGTTTGTTGTAGTCGGAAACTTTTTTTCACCTACGCTTCGAAATTTGACACTTATTGACAACATTTTTGGTAGTTTTATTCTTTTATTTCTTAAATTGAAATATATTTTAAAAATAACTTTAACCATTCTACGTTCTGAGTTGTAAAAACATGCATATTGCACTCTTGATTGCGATAGTCTAAAAATAGAAATTTAGGTATCCTTAAGGATAATTTCGGCATCTACACCGATGTGCCAAAAGGATCATTTCAGCATGCGTGAGGGTGCCAAAAGGATAACTTCGGTATGAAAGGGTTAAAGAAAGTCCAATATTAACTGCATTTTATTTGTGTAGGATGTATTTAATTAGATTCACAATTAACTTTTTTAAAGCTCTTAGTTGATAAAATGATTTATAAATACATACAGATTACATTTTGAATATTGTAAAGATGCAGCAGTAGTTACTTTAATACATTTATTAAAATAACTGACATATTGCAGCAATTGACCAAGAACCCTGAGGATTATCCAGATAAGAAGAGCCTTCCACACGTACAGGTAGCTATGAGGTTCAACAGTAAAGGTGGTAGGAAGATGAAGGCAGGCGATACTGTAGCATATGTGGTCTGTGAGGTATGTTTATTTTATTGTATGGTGATACTGTAGCATATGTAGTCTGTGAGGTATGTTTATTTTATTGTATGGTGATACTGTAGCATATGTGGTCTGTGAGGTATGTTTATTTTATTGTATGGTGATACTGTAGCATATGTGGTCTGTGAGGTATGTTTATTTTATTGTATGGTGATACTGTAGCATATGTGGTCTGTGAGGTATGTTTATTTTATTGTATGGTGATACTGTAGCATATGTGGTCTGTGAGGTATGTTTATTTTATTGTATGGTGATACTGTAGCATATGTAGTCTGTGAGGTATGTTTATTTTATTGTATGGTGATACTGTAGCATATGTAGTCTGTGAGGTATGTTTATTTTATTGTATGGTGATACTGTAGCATATGTGGTCTGTGAGGTATGTTTATTTTATTGTATGGTGATACTGTAGCATATGTAGTCTGTGAGGTATGTTTATTTTATTGTATGGTGATACTGTAGCATATGTAGTCTATGAGGAATGTTTATTTTATTGTATGGTGATACTGTAGCATATGTGGTCTGTGAGGTATGTTTATTTTATCGTATGAAACAATCAAAATACATTCCTGTTATGGTATAAGAGTACTAAAATCAATTTAAGTTAGTAAGACTGACATGGTTCTAGTACTGTTAAATGAGTGCTTTAAACAAATCTATAAGAATCAATGAACATACTGGGAGGCCAGTAAATTGATCATTTAACTAAACAGCCATCCCATAAAAAGATTATTGCAATTTTTTCAGGAACTACAAATCAGAGTTTTCTGAATGTTTGCTTAAACTAGAGTAAATAAAAACTATCATGTGCTAGATATGTTTTCTTTTCGTCAATAATCATATCTTACCATCAACCATCATTAACATATCAATATATTTGTTTTAGACTTTATTATATGGTTTGTAAACATTAGTAGTAAAACACTGCACTAAAGATGTCATCAAAAATTGTACATTTAAATAAAAATATCTCATAAAACCTTTTGAATTTAGAAACTGCTTACAGCTTATGAAAATTCATCAAAATTGTCATTTACTGTCTAAACTTTAATTAACCTTTTCCCTAATTGGTTGATCATTTTCAGGATGGATCAACTTTACCAGCTTCACAGAGAGCATATCATCCTGATGAACTGGCTAAAAGTGAGACACTTAAAATAGGTAAGGAAGTTATAATGAATAAATTCATAGTTTCAAAGTTGGAGGTCAAAAGTCAAAATTATATGTTTGTATTATGGAGAAAGCTTACAGGCAGTTTGAAAAAAAAATATACTGTAATGCTTTGAAATTCGTAAAGATTATAAAAATATGCTGGGAAACTTTGCCTATAGATTTTAATCAGTCTAGGAATCTTGATCACAAGTTCATGTAGGGATTTTGTGTCATGAAAACAAAGGCATTATAATTATATAAGTAAAATACATTTAAAACTATTAAGGGAACCATAGGGAATTTTCTAGATTACTTTAATTTCTTTCATTTAAACATTTAAAATATACGTTGATGACAATTCGTGTTGCTCAGTCTTTAGTTTTCTATGTTGTGTTTTGTATACTGTTTGTCTTTTGGTCTTTTTCTTTTTTTGACATGTCATTGCCAGTTTATTTTCGACTTGTGAGTTTGAATGTCCCTTTGGTATCTTTTGCCTCTCTTTTTCTTGTAGATACCAAATATTACCTTTCAAATCAAGTGCATCCTGTGATAGCAAGATTGTGTGATCCAATAGATGGAACTGATGCTGCACACTTGGCTGAATGTCTAGGTTAGTGAATAGGCAGTTCTGATGAGTAACCTTTATCTTTTAACGACAAAATGTAGAAAATATTATAAAAAGAACTATAGTGAATCCCACTTCATACATTCCACTCAGAATCAATCACCAAATTTATGAAACCAAGCGCATCTTGGATATGAATAAATTTGTATATTAAAGACTATTCACAAATATACTTTGTATTTGTTTAATATGTCCTGCATTTCGTGTTTTAATATTCCAAATGTTATCAAATTTGCAGTTCTGAGGCATTCGTGAGCATTTATAATTAGATTAATCAAACAGAAAGCTGACAAATTGTCAGAAGCTCATGTTTTAAACATAAAGCTGTGATAATGTGAATTATAGGTCAATAAAAAAGTACCCAGTAGCCTAAAGTGGTCAAATTTTACATTCGTAGAAGAAAATAGAATGCTAAAATAGGAGTATTTTATTGTGATTTGTGGTACATGTGGGAACCAGAAATTAGGCAATATAGAAATACATCCGGTTCTCATATATTTCTGTGTTAAGAAAAGTCAACCCAAGGCCTGTATTTTTATGAACTTGATAATGAATTATGAATTGCTTGTTTGAATTTCCCAAACTGTTGTGCAAATGGTATTGTTACAGGGTCGTATCTTGGATTAAGTAAATAACAAACTCTGTTCTGTAGGGTTCGGATGATTTAATACCAGTAATAGAAAATAAACTCTGAAATAACAATATCACAATTATAATTAACAGTTCTATTTTATAAAACACAAGTATCTTAAATTACACATTATCACATATGGTAATAGTAAAATACAATGCTCTTAATTACTGTGTACTATACTACTCTGTACTAATTCAATAATAAATACATTCAGTAAATTGATGTCACGTGTACTTTTATTTCTCATTGTGATATACTACACAAGAATGTAACCCTTGATCATAAATAGTGTACTATATAATGTTTACTGGTAAACTATGTGTACGGTACAAAACTAAAGTTAAAACTGCACATATAACAATAAACTAATCGGAACATAATATATTATTTGTTCTTTACATACTATTACATTACAACAATCATTAAGTTGCAAATACTATTTTTATAAAGACTAATTAAGCCAATATCTTAAATATGCTTAAAACCACATATTTAAACGGAAATAATCCATAACGTTCTGTTTACAACATTACATAATTAAAATAGATTGACTCTTACCACTTGTGGAGTGAGTTTTACTGGTAAGGAGTAGGCACAGTTCACAAGTAATACTCTGTATATAACTACATCAATGGAGTCCTAAAACCAAAATGTAATCATAAACATTCGGACTCGTAAAATATTAAAATATACAATATGACAAAATAACTCAAGTTCATTCATAGTTATACTTCTATCATTACATTGTATAATATAAGTGTACTAATAAATATCAACATTAACACTTTTCCTTATTTTGTTTAATATGCCGCCATTTATGAAATATCAATTATCTGTGTCAATAATCAAATAGCTGCGCAAATTATCTTGTTCTATATTCTATCGTGACAAATTAACGGTAGATAATAAAATATATGTAGCACGAAGCTAAATAAAATATTCTCGGGTACATCTATCATACTAATGTAATAATCAAACTTTACGAGGAGAACGAAGTCATACAATAGAAACTTTGCTAACTTTTATCATTTACATGTGAAAATATAACTTATATAATAAAGAAAATAACTTACATTAATCAGATATATGTTATGTCCACAATGAATGAAAATAATAATATACAGGTAATATAACTCGGGACACACAATATCATGTGGCTGTCATTTCAAGTTCCCGTTCAAATCTACCTGGTCAATACAAAATATAAATTGACCGCGAAATCACAATGACCAATCAGATACGCAATTTTAACTAAGAACCTTTTGAATATTCATGAACTAAATATAAAAAGTAAAGTGTAGATTTGGAATTAAATAATAATATTCCTTCATCAAAATTCAAGAGTTAAACTTTTATAATAAATACAATCAATTTAAAGTACGTTATAAAGATATTTTTACTGTTATTCAATAGGCGTAAAAATGACACTACTACATTCTCCCCTCTGTTGAAGAAAATGACTTCCATGTCATTGTGTCTTTCTCCCCTCTTTTATGAACTTGTCGTCCTCGTCAAGCGTTTTCCATAATCAACTGTTCTCAATAATCTTGATGATAGCCCTAGATAGTTCAATCTCTAGACCTCTAAATCGTCCTGTTTCTGCCTGACTTTCCAACCAATGTACTTTTTCCAACCAATCTGGTTTAGTGGTTGCCTGCTTTGCTGTAGTTACATAATCTTGCAGGTACTTCGGTGGTTGCCGGTTTCTCTGAGGTCTAGCTAGTGTGGTAGTTTCTGGTATGTGACGTGGTGGTGTAGGTAAGAATCTACGTCTTCTTTCTCTAACTGGTTGTACTGTTGGAGTTTCATCATCTGTGGGTTCATCTGCCATTTCATCTAGAGATGGATCCTCCGTCAACCCACTGCCATTATTTGATTCTAAAGCGTCAGCTTCAATATTCTGACCAGTCGCTGCAGGTTCAACATCCTCTGTTCCAGGGGTAGGTTCTTCAGCATTTCCTATGTCTGAAGGTAAAGCGTCCTCTACTAAACCGTTAACCTGGCTACTACCAACGGCATCATGATCGTCACCCGTGTCGCTGATAGTTACATCATCTATCCCAGGTCTTTCTACCATATTTGCTTCACTGTCAGTGTTGCTAGGTGTACTCCTTCCTGTCTCTATTATCCAATACTCCTGCTCCGACTCCTCATCTGATTCCAATGCAGTCATCTTTTCAATGCTGTCCCCAACAGACTTCGTCGGTGGTCGTCCAGACTTCTTCGGTTTACGCTTCTGTCTAGGTGCAGGAGTTATCTCAGATTCATTAGTCTTTGGCAGAAGTCCAATTGGAAGTAGAAGATTTCGATGAAGTGTCTTCTTTCTTCCAGTTCCGTTTTCTTTCTGGACCACATACACAGGTATCTCTTTGTTAGGCTGATTAACAATCTGGTATGGATCTTCTTCCCACTTGTCAGCTAGCTTATGTTTACCGTCGAAGGCCAAGATCTTTACTAGGACTCTGTCGCCGGTTTGTAAGATGGCTGATCTAGCTTTCATGTTATAGTTGTATTTCTGTCTGTCTTTCCCTATTTTCGAGTGTTTTGTTGCCAACTCGTATGCCTCTTTCAATCTTTTCTGTACGGTTTCAATGTACTTTGTCACTGGTTGCTTTTGTTCATTATCAGGAAGGTTGAAAGCGATGTCTATCGGTAATCTTGGTTCTCTACCAAACATAAGGAAGTAAGGTGAGTATCTTGTAGTTGTCTGTCTGGTGCAGTTGTAAGCGTGAACCAATCCAGCTATGTGTGCTTTCCAGTCTTTCTTCTGCGTTGTTTCCAGTGTACCCAACATACTCAGCAATGTTCGATTAAAACGCTCTGTATTTCCGTTGCCCATAGGATGGTACGGTGTAGTACGTGATTTCTGCATGCCTGTGATGTTACATAGTTCTTTAATGATATTTGATTCAAAGTTGGCACCTTGGTCGCTGTGAATTCGTTTTGGCAAGCCGTAATGTACTACAAAGTGGTTGAAAAAGGCTTCGGCGGTAGTCTTTGCTGTTTGATTTTTCGTTGGAATTGCCAAGGCATACCGGGTAAAGTGATCGGTAATGACAAGAACATTTTCAAAACCTCCTTTGGATCTTTCCAGTGACAAATAATCCATGCATACTAGTTCAAGTGGTTGGTATGTTTCAATGCTAACTAGTGGTGCCCTTTCATTAGTTGGTGTTTTCCGTCTTATGCATCTGTTACATTGCGTAATCCACTGATCTACATCTCTTGTCATCCCATACCATACAAATCTATCTCTTATAAGTGACAGTGTTTTATCTCGTCCTTGGTGGCCCATGTCAAGTATAGATGGTGAAGCTAGTGCTGTTTTAAGTGTTTGGAAAGCCTTTTCTTGAAGATGTCCCCAAATCCATTATTGACTGTTTGGATCTCGGAGTCGTGGCTTGTGTTTCTTTGATGAACTTTTCGGTGGAGGCATTAGATCGGTGAGTGGTCTTGCTATTTTCGAAAAATCTTTGACGAACTTCCGGTAGTATCCTACAAAGCCAAGGAAGCGACGGATTTCTTCTGGTGTTGTTGGACGTGGCCAGTTGGTTACCTTGTCTATCTTTGCAGGATCTGGTTGTATGCCATCTTTGGAGACGATGTGACCAATATATTTAACTTTCTCTTGAAGGAATGAGCATTTCTTTGGAGATAATTTAAGTCCGCTTTCTCTTAGCCTCTGCAGTACTTTCTCTAATCTGACCAGATGTTCCTCGTAAGTATCGGAGAATATTATAAGATCATCCAGATAAATGAAGCAGATATCAAGATGGAGGTCTCCTAGGATCTCTTCCATTAACCTCTGATATGTCGCTGGGCTGTTGACTAATCCAAACGGCAAGCGGTTGAATTCGTAAAAGCCTAGTGGACCGACAGTGAAAGCAGTTCTCTGCTTGTGGGACTCTTCTACCTCTACCTGATGGTACCCGCTCTTCATATCAAGTACTGTATATAGCGTGTTACCTCCTAGAGCGTCTAGTATCTCTTCGCTGCGTGGCAAAGCGTAAGAATCCTTCACGGACCTTTGATTAAGTTGTCTGTAATCAATACACATTCTGAGTTTCCCATCCTTCTTTCGACAAAGCACTACATTAGATGACCAAGGTGAGTGTGAGCGTCGTATTATGCCAGCTGTGAGTAGTTGTTGTAGATGTGTACGAACTTCATCAAACATGGCTGGTGGTATACGCCTATGTCTCTGCTTGAACGGTGTATCATCAGTGAGATCAATTCTATGACGAACTGCATCTGTGTGACCAATGTCTGTGTCTGACATACTAAATACATCTCTATACTGTCTAAGTAGTTGTTTGCCTTTTTCTAACTGTTCATTGCTCAATAAGTCCGT